AGGAGAGAAGCAGACACCCCCTCCCTCACCCTCGCACTAAAAGCCAGAGACAGGAGAGAAGCACCCCTTGACAGGGCCTGGCCTTTGAACAAGAGTGCGTACAGCAACGGGCTGACCTGACATCCTAAAGAGCATGTACGCAGCATCGGGCAGAGGGTGAGCCGTCTCATAGAAAGCGGTCATCTGCGTGAGGACATTTCGACACCAGTGGCTGCGCGCTTGAAGCTCTCGTCGATTCCCGCTGCTACAGTGTTCATACAGTAGTCCGTCTGAGAGAGTCGCTGGTCGGCATACAGAGGTGAAGCTCGGATTCCACCTCTCGAGCAGGCAGAGAGCCTTCATGTCCGCGGAGCTGAGCTCTGACTTTGTGTGTCGATTGTCTTGAGGCTGCGACAGCCGGCAAATCGACCGCATTCTAGCAGAGGTCATGTTGTTGAAAGGGGCTTGACTCTGAGCAAGAGCGCCGTCTGTGATTGTTGCAGGCCAGGACAACACATCGCTCTGAGCTTCTCACATAGCCTCGCAATGGGCCTTAGAATCCCCAGATCTCCAGTCGCCAGCACAAGCGAAGGTGTTCTGGCCAGTGTCATCCACCTCAGCATATATGGAACTCGCTCGATGCCACAATCGCTGCCATTGCTTCTGTGCAGTCTGAACCACAAAGAGCCGACTGTCAAGGGAACCTCTAGTCACTACCTTCTCATCGGTCACGGTGACTGTGACGAAGCCTCTATGCTCGCACCTCACTTCGGTGCCTTCGGCTGTAGCGAGGCGAAACAAGGCACGTGGCCGTGCTCATAGACTGGTACAAGCTCACATCCATTGCTTACTCACTAGCAGACCTCACCCATTGTCGCAGAAGCAGCCTCTCGACCCAGACAGCCTCCACGGCTGCCACTCCGGTCCAGCATGCGGGCTTTCGAGGATAGGCAGCTGTCGTACCACAAGCGCAAGCGACGTGAAGAGACCGCAGATGATGATTCTTATGGCCAAGGTTGACTGACCAGTGTTCAGGGGCGCCTAGCCAAGGCTTATCTCCGAGTCCCTTTCAACCGTCAGAGGCTGCGAGCAAGGGCAGTGCGATTGATGCCACACTCTGACTCAGCGGACGAACACAGCACCTAGATGCTCACTTGAGCTTCAGTGGAGCTCCTTGGGATATTTGCATCGTGAGATTCGGCATGAGAAGGAGGCTACAAGAGCTGATTCCTAGCCCGAAAGTGCGTCGAAAAGAGGTGACGGGCGTATGAGGGCCACGCAAAGATCAAGCCCCTTCCTCGGAATGCGTACTCTTGCTCAAATCCCACCAAGAAGCTGTCCTATCATGGAAGGCCTATTTGGTCCGCACGTATAGTGCTCGAGAGGGGGAGCCATTTGGGAGGCTGTGCCCGTGCATCGTACGAAGGCTATTGCTTCAATCTCTACCAGGCTAAAAAGCTTTGCTCAGAGCCTCAAAAGCACGAAGTTATCTGTCTATGAGGCAGAAGGTGAGGAAAGATCAGATGCTTCGCTGCAAAGAGGTCAGGATGCGGCAGCGTCGGGAGTAAAGGGATGGAAGAAGCACCGCCTCTTCTGTCGGGCGAGCGAGGCGTCCCTTTGAGAAAGCATTCATATTTCACCCTGAGTCATCCGAGGGTCGCGGCGCGCTATCGGAACGGCATACGAACAGACATCCGAAAACCGTCCGGAAGACGAGTCGGGCGCGGTGAGGCATCCGAGCGCGACCGGCCGGCATCCGATACGGGTGTCCTTCCTACCTTGGAGCCGCCGGCCATTTGTCTTCCGCCACTTCTGTTCCGCTCTGCCGGTCCCTTCGGCGCACCGTGACTTCACTTGGAAGATCAAGCGTGCTCGGGACGGCCTTCTCAACCGCGATGCATACCTGCCCTCCATCCATATCTGCTGCTCTCGCTCCAGTCATCTCCTGCGCGTCAGGACTCGGAAAAGTGCGGAGCGACCGTGTCTTGCCGCGTGCGTGCGTACGGTTGGTGCAGCCTCGACCTCGGTTGTGCACCAACGCCACGCCACGCCACACCGCGCCACACCACGGCAGAGTGTCCCGCCTCGCTTGCAGCAATCCACGGCCACAGCCACAAGCACACAGACGCGCGGCCTGCTTCGCGAGTGATGTGTGCAATGGAAGGAGGAGAGTGGTGCGATGTCTTGAGAGGTGGCAAGCCTGTGCAGTGCACCGCAGTACAGTACAGTATCTAGTTGAATGGAGTGGGGAGCGAGGTGGAGAGAGCACGGTAGAGTGGTGCAATAGAGGCAGATAGAGGTCAGAAGCTCACCTTGCGCTCGCCCGCCCTCCCTTCCGCCAGCGGAAAGGAGCGGAACGGCGTCGAAGTTCTTCTCTCACCTTTCGCGTAGGCAGACCTCGACGAGCCTTTGCAGGCATCGGGCTGGCACGACTGCCTTGAGGACAGAGCCCAGCACGTCTTTCGCTGGTGCACGCTCATGGCTTCATCGCAGACGAGCCCAATGACCTCATCCACGACCATGACAAGGCCCCTATGTACAAGAAAGGGATCCCTTATGACGTGGTGCATCCCAAAATGTAAGCTACGTGCATGCTGCGCTTCGTGACGTAGGTTGCCACTGACATGGTCGAGCGCGATACCAAGCTGCTCGAGCCTGCTTCGGGTGTCTGGCACTATGCCCGCAGCACACACTAGCGGATGGCCCGGCGGGAGCTCGTACTACTCGCAGCTATGGCAGCTGGAAGAAGCACGACTTGAACGGAGACGTGGAGATTGGCAGTGTTGCGGTCCCTTGGATGCTCAAACTCAGCTACCTCATCGTACATACTACTGTACAACCTCTGCCTCCACAGCCGCGTCTCACAGAGATAGGGGACGTATGAGAGGTGCGACAAACCCGTGGGTACCTTCCAAGACACACTAGGATCCGGCCACCTGGGCCTCACTGCTCACAATGAACATTGCAATCACCCCGTCCCCGCCGGATACCTCCCTATAAGCTACTCTATGGACGGGAACATTTCACCTACCGGTGGGGTCATAGGGCAACAACAGCACGAATCTGTCCTTCCCTTGCTGGCAATCACTCCTCCATGGAACAGCCGGGAGATCCAGAATTGGCACCGGATAGACCGCGGCGGTCGCCGCTGACTTTGCTCAAGCAAGCAGTCAGTACAGTAGTCCTACTGTAGGACCTTTCGCCTCTATACCCATCATGCTTTCGCCTCTTGCGACTGTTGCGCTTCTCTTGTTTCTTCCCAGATCAACAGCCATACCATGGCGCAGACGTACAGTAGCGGCGGGCTGGCCTCTGGAAGATGTGCTCCCAGCGAGCTAGACTGCCTTCTTCCAATCATCTTGAGCAAAACCCTTGGTGGACTTGAGTCGAGAGGCGCTCGCTGCTGTGGCCTGCATGAGACCCCAACAGATTCGGCTAGTCCGAAGGAGATCCTGTTCGGTCCCAAGGAGAGGCAACTGTTCCCGATACCTCTGTTGGCTCCAGCGACGAGCACAAGAGCCGCCCTGCATGCTCGCTTCGTATCTGAAGACGAGCAGCTCGAGGCATAGGAAGACGGCGAGCAAGACGGGGAAGAGCAAGGGACAGGAGACGAAGAAGGAGACGACAACAATGAGTGATTGCAAGCTCCTTCTCAGAGTAGCATCACTGGCAATGATGAGACGATAAGCACGCTGTTCGAGGCTCTCGCAGCGATGAGCCTTCGCTACGGTACTGGCAATGGCAATGACGACGATGAGCAAGAAGACGAAGACGAAGCCGCATCTGGCATATGCAAGCCAGAATCCCGCAAAGAAGTAATCGAGGGGCACCAGACTGCCTACCAAAGCGCCAGCCTTGTACAACTAGACCTCCTACCACATCATGAGATGTGGCGACTGCAGCGCACTCTTCCTGGCGAGCATGGTCGTCTGCATTACAGCGATCTCACCGTCCGACACGCCTCCTACCGCTCTCCTGACCACCCAGATGCCCAATGACCCTCTACAGGTCAAGTCTACTGGACGATGATGCAACCGGAGACTTGTCCGATTCTCAATGCCTAGACCGACGCTATCGCTGTTAAAGTCGAGGGACTGGATGCTCAATCAGATGTTACTAGCGATATTGGCGCTGCGACGGAGGACCTACTGGATGATGCAGACGCTGAAGACGAGGAGGAGACGGCTGACAGAGAGCAGGTCCACCTTGCTCTGGTCATGATTCACAAGGGGGATGGGATTGATGCTCAGCTATTGGGAAACGATGGGTCGGATCTGCGTCTTGCCTGGACCTGGACAGAGCGGTACTGTAAGCTGTCACACTGTTCTATACATGAACTCGAGGAGCAGAGTTCCCATTCCGTAAGAAAGCAATACTGGATCACAACCTGCCAATCTACGACTTTCTCATACAATGCAATGCGATACGTAGTAGGCAATCGTGCCCGTGGATGGCCCACCCGGTGACCGCTCTGGTGAAACATCGAATCGGGAAGCTCGTCCATCAGGGCTGTACATGCTGCTAGCCGACGGCTGCGCTGTACATGATTGCTGTGCTGCTCGGCTCCTTTTCACCTCTCCGGCCTCACCTCTTCTGACTCAACCCTCCTGACTCATCTCTCCTGCCTCATCATCCTCCGTGTCACCTACCTCCTCGTCTCGCCTGCCCTTGTCTAAAGGGAGAGAAAGAGCCAGGCAGTACAGTACTGTACTGTACGTGAGCGTGAGCATGATCGTCGAGAGATACGCACATCTGGAGACGTGCTTTGCCACTCTCCCTCGCATTTCCGTCGTGGTACGATGCGATACGGTACTGTACTGTACTGTACTTGGGTCCCTTAGGACCTCGCCTACTCACACAGACTGTCTCTCTCTACAGTACCTACGGCAAGTACGTCGAACTCTCGCCATCGGTTCAATCCTCTTCACACGCCACTCTTGTCTGCGCCTGATTGCAGCGGTAGCGAAGTCGCAACGGCGCAACGGTGGATCTTCTGCCTGGCCTGGCCTGATGAGGGACGTGCAGCCTCTGCCTCTCGCCCTCACTCAGTCTTGCTTTCCATCGAGCTCGTCTCCCTTTCTCCCGTCCGAAAGAGGTTTTCGGCAAGGCGAATGATCTGCAACAGAGGACCTGCCTGTACTGCAGCCTCGTTCATGATGGTGAGTCTTTGTGTAGAGCCGGGCAGCCATGGCTGCGTACAGCATAGGTCCGCAAACGTATGGTGCTGGTCGAACAGTTGACACCTGCGGGGAGAAAGGCGATCGGTTCAGCGCACAAGTACGGTACTGTACCGTAGTGGCAAGGTCTCTTCCCCCACCGTCATCCTACTTTGTCAAGTCTTGTCCCAGCTCCAGCTCCAGTACAGGATGCATCGGACGCAGCGCTCCCACTTCACTCACACCGAGGAGGAACGGTAGGTGCACGCAGCGGCGCTTCTTTGCTTCTCTGCGTCGTCAAGAGTCGCTATCGTCGCTGATGCACTGTACTTTACGTGCTGCACTTGGTATTTGATCTGAGCTCGAGCTTGTAGCAGGTGACTTGGTCCGTCCGTGAGTCCACGACTTCTGTGCCGGCCTTACGTCTTGTCTTGTCTCGACTCGAGGAAGAGGAGATAGCAGAGCTCGCAAATGAGAGCACGAAGTTGCGCAGTGAGGAAGCGAGGCGGGGTGTGGACGAGGACGAGAGAGCATTGATGCTAGCGAGAGCGAGGCTGATTGCCGGTGACGAGAGGGCAAGTCCAGGTGCATTCATATGAGCTGACGTAAGCTGTATGAGCCGAGTTGAGGCGAGGTGAGCTGAGCAGTGCTGTTCAGTGAGGCAGAGGCGTTGTGAGGTGCGTCCTGCTGCAAGACAGAAGCACGTCTTCAATCAGCGCTGTAGCCTCATTTTCCTCTTTCCTTTCGCCTGCTCACTGTCTCCTCCTTCTTCCAATGTACTGTACTGTACAGCCTGCGCCCTGTGGAGACAGAGAAAAGGGGGAAAGCAAGAAGTCCCTCTTGACCGATCGGTCTGGCCGGCTGGACGATCCAGAACTGCACAAGCGGAAGTTGCGCTTGATCATCCGGCATTGTGGCTCTTAAGCGCTTCTCGGTCTCGGTAGCAGAAGGCAGGATATCGCCTGGGTGTGATACTGTAAAGGGCCACTGCACTGCACAGGCCTCGACCGCGCGCCTTTTGTGCACTTCAGCTTACGAGGTGTAGCCCACAGCGGCCCCTGATACTTGTAGATACAGTACAGTCGGTGATCCGTATTTGTCAAGACCTGGACACAGATGCTGGCACGAGTCGCCCTGGGCCGTTGCAGCAAGTCACCTGCGGTGGAGATGTCGTACGCATTGGCTTCTAGCGAAGGCGAAAGAAGGTAGAAGGCGGGCAGCAGATCAGATTGAGAGCTGAAAAGTGCGCAATGGGGGACATCGTTTCGCCCGCACACTCGCTCTTGGCTCAATCGAGGAGGACGTTGGCGCATCGACGGGAACTGAGCAGCCGTTCTTGCTTGTAGTATAGCAAGTGCAGACGCCGACAGCTGGAGCTGGAGGAGAGCCAGCTGCAGGACGCCGTTTTTGTGATACTGTAGAAAGGTCTCAAATGGATACTACTTGAGCTTCTGGGCAGTAGGCTGCTCTATGCAATGCAGCAGTCTTTACTACAGTACGAGATTGCTTGTGCGGCATCTGCAGTGCTGCGTAGGGCAGCCGAGTCGAGTGTTGAGCCGCAGGCCAGACTGAGTGACGTTGTACCCTCCTGGCACGAACCCGGCGAAGGAATGATCCGGAGTCCAGAGTTGGCTCTACATCCAGTTGCATATCGTGACATCGTATAAGTTTGGAGTGTAAACCACTGCCATTGCCACTGCCACGCCTCATGGCAGCACTACGGTCCGGTATCAGGTCCGGATGTTGAGAGCCAGAATGGACGAGCGAGGCCACCTATGTTCCAGACAGTCTATCAGTCCAGAGGTGACTTCACCGCGCCTCGAGAGACGTTTTGTAGTGAGCGGCGCCGCACTACTCTTCCACCCGGTTGATCCTGATTCTGATCCGAAGAGAGAGAGGGGGGGGGGACGCTTTCTTCTGCCGCTACTGAGCCAAGTGACTGTCCCGCGAATGAGGCGGAGGCTGCGTTCTTGGCCAAAGTACCCACATCAAAGCCTGACTCTTTGCTCCGGCGGCAGAGACAGTCCCCTGCGATGGGCCAGTGCAGCCAGTGCCAGTAGAAGACAAGGGCAGTGAGTCGTCGTTGGGCAGTCAGACCGCTCTGGTGCTCCACCAAGAAGGCAGGCAGGCAATGGTACCAGCGCATGGCGTGGCGATGCGATGCGATGTGGGCTGTGTGGTGTACCTCAGTGCCCCAGGTCATAGCTCAGAGTCGTTAGGCTGCGTATTGTCCCTTGTGCTAAGCGAAGCTCGCCCCTGCTATGGGACCGTGGCAAGGATCATTGAGGAAGAAGAGCGGCAAGCAAGGTGCGTGGGCTGCTGCACTGCGACTGCTGTTGCTGCCGAGGTGAGGGTGCAAAGGTGCAAGGAGGCAGTGTGTGCTGCGGGGTGAGCAGTGGAGATGAGTAGAGGATCTGGCCAGGCGAGAAGCGCAGGCAGACGCAAAGGCTGGGTGGGATCCACGAAGGCAGGGGCACGCACACCCACGCGAGGTGGCCTGTGCCCTCGCACGGAGCATGGACAGGAAGCTGCACGTGACGCCGCACGGCAGAGGGGTATCCTCACCAGAGATGCGCTGCGCTGTTGTCCATCTCCCACGGCACACCGCAGTCCCAGAAGAGGAGGGCGACAAGCAGAGACGAGGATCAAATCACTCGCCCATCACTTGGCCTGCGAACAATTCATGTCGCCACACACTCACGCACGCACGCCTTGGCGGAAAGAGAGACCGACGCGGGGGTGGAGGAGCAGGCAGAGAATGGCAAAAGGGGGGACGAGCCGATCAAGCACAAGGGCCAACTGGTCAGCCATCCCCTCGTCTCAGCTCAGACAAGGTCACTCTCGCACAATATGTCCACAGCGGTGCCTTTTGCAAGACTACTGGCCGCGCATACGTCAACAGTGGCTCAAAAACGGTCGTCGTCTACCCACAGCCAGGCCAGGTGACGATGCTAGGGCAGAGATAGAGGCTCAAGCCGAGGCTAGCGCAGAGGTTCGTAGGGCTGCTCCGGCTACGTGGGCGCTCAGGGCTTCCAGGATGGTAGGGCAATGGCCATTGCTGCAAGCTAGGAGGAGGAGGAGGAGGAGGAGAGAGACCAGGGCAAAGAGAGCCTTGATGATGCCCAGGAAACAGGCAGATAGAGCTTGAGACTAACGGCGCTCCCCCCCCCCCCCCCCCCCCCCCCCCCCCCCCCCCCTTTCCTTCTACCCCCCACCCTTTTACCCTTCCAAGACTTGGACGGCTACTCACGGCGGTGACAGCGATACCCTGCAGTGGCTGCCACATGATATCTCGAGTCTTTGATGTGCCCCATGAATCTGCTCAGGAAGAAGAGAGAATCAGTCCCTCTGCCATCTCAGCAAGCACTCCTCTGCCTACCTCTTCGGCCGCGCCTGCAGCAAAGCCAGCTAAAGTCTTCTGCCAGAAGATCAGAAGACACTACGCCCGTCATGTCGAGCAAGGCCTGCAATAGCTGCTGTGCAGAATCCCTATATCCATGCAGGTGCACAGTACGGATACTGTACAACCTCTGTCCCGTGGTCCTGAATTCTGAATAGAGTAAGGGCAAGAACGTCTAGATAGGAACAAGCGCAAGCTACAGTACCTCTGTCCAGACCATCTCCATCTTCCACACCTTCCGTACAAGGCTGGACTGGCTTTCCCTCGACGAGAAGAGGTGCGATCCAGGCAAACTCCTAGCGTCTCCTTTCCCTTCCCCTTCCCGAGTGTGTCTTCGCTCTCATTCCTCTTCCTTTTCGGACCACCGGATACGAGCTACAGTGCCTCCTCCTCGGCCTGTACATCTCGTATCCCACCGCTCCCAGAAAGCCCCTGGGACCCGATTTGACCCTCGTACAGCAAGCAAAACCCAGGCAATCTACAGCGCTGTAGTCACAATGGCGCAAGCGATGGGACACGGGATGCTATGCTCCCTTGGCCTCTGCTACGCCGACCTTCTGCTAGGCGAGGCAAGGCAAACCCAAAGAGATGTACTGGAGGCTTCGAGACGAGACGAGACTGTTGCATTGCGAGGCGCAGGTCGCAAGTCGCAAGTCGCAAGTCGCAAGTCGCAAGTCGCAAGTCGCAAGTCGCAAGTCGCAAGTCGCAAGTCGCAAGTCGCAAGTCGCAAGGAGCCAGAAGCAAGGAGCAGGAGCAGGAGCGGGAGGCAGGAACAGGAGCGGGAGACATCTTGCCTCGCACCCTTGCATTTCGCGCCCTCGTGATCGAGGTTGGCACCGGCGGCGAGCAAGAGTCGAGGGGACCTATATACAGTGCTGCAATGTACTGCCCATCGCCGCCACCCCCTCTGTGCATGATGACGGAGTCAAGTAGCAGACTATGGGCTCTGTACGTGACGCACGGAGGAACAAAGACAAAGGCAAGAACCGAGGCAGCAAAGTGGATAGAAGCAGTCGATCAGACTAGCGCATAGGGACCTCAAGCTCTGAGCTTTCGCCTCTTTCCTCTTAGTCAACCTCGGCCTTGGGATTGGCCTTGGGATACCTGCACTCCACACGCGAAGAGGAAATGAAACACAAAGGGTTCCCTTTGCCTCCGCTGCCTCCTCACCTCGAACTCGTCATCGTCGTCGTCGTCGTGCTCGCCCTCGTGAGCCCGCTCCGCACTCCGCTCTTCGCTCTTCGCTCCCCGCACCTTGCACTTTACACCCACCGAGGAGCCAGAAGGGAGGGCAAGGACGTGCATCCAGCAAGTAAGGGAAGCTGCAGAGCGTACCTACCTGTACTACTGCTACTGCGACTGCGACTGCTATCGCTACTGCGACTGCGACTGCGACTGCGACTACGACTGCGACTGCCCCGTCAGCTCTAGCCTGGCTGGTCCGAATGCAGATACCTGTTGCGAGCCACATCCGATCAGACCAAAGACCGAAAGCGGAAGAGACGACTCTAGCGAGAGAGGCTGCTGCTCTGAGCTGCTGCTGCTCTGCGCTGCTTTGAGCCACACTTAAGAGTCTTCTCTTGGATGTCATCACGGAGCTGGAGCCAGAGAACTCTCTTCGTCTCCATCTCCGTCTTCCTCTGGGTCTGGGTCTGTGGTCCGGACGGTTGCTGCCCCTCGCCAGAGAGAGGGACTTCTTGCTAAGTAGCAGAGGAGAGTGTGGTCGAAATGCTCATCTCCGCTCCGCTTCCCGCTCCCGCTCCTTCACTTCCTGGCGTAGCTTGACCTCCGTGGGTGGAGCCTCGTACTGTACGGTAGGCAGCTCTCCCTCCCAGCTCCCAGCTCCCCTCTCTTCGCTCGAGGAGCAACACGCCCTTGCCCTCGCCCAGTCATAAGCCATGTCCACTGCCGCTCCACTGTCGCCCCGCCCCGCCCTGCCCTGACCTGCTCTTGCCTTTGTCGCCCTCACGCTGCGTGCCGCGTGGCTATCTGCACCTCCTTCCTATCCCTACTCCTACCCATACCTACACTGTACTCTACCAAGAACAAAGAACAAAGGGCAGAGGGCAGCGCACCTTACTCTTCTTGAGTATAGTACAGTGCAGTACAGTGCAGTATAGCGCAGCTTAGCGCAGCTTAGCGCAGAAGAAGAAATAGAAAAACTTTCTTTGCACACCGGGGGCATAGCATAGCATGACATGGTATACAGTAGCATGAAGTGTTCTTCCTCTTCGTCCTCGTCCTCGTCCTCGTCCTCGTCCTCGTCCTCGTCTTCGTCTTCGTCTTCATTTTCATCTTCCTCTTCTATCACTCTGGTCCGGGCTGGGCCCGAGCCGGGGCCGGGCGCCGGGCCGGGGCCGCAGGTCGTGGTACTGTAGAGTACTGTAGAGTACTGGAATGTACTGTAATGTAGAGTAGTTCAGAGTTGTGTGCTATCTGACCGCTTCCCTTTTCCCTACTTCCTATCTAAGCGGGGGAAAGAGGGAGTGAGGGGGGGGTAATAGTGGCAGTGGTAGTGGCAGTGGTAAAAGGGTCGCGAGAAGGCACACCATTGTTGTCCCAAGACTACTGTATCACCACGAGCGGTGGGAGAAAGTGATAGATGGAGATTTCATTGCCTCCTTGGAGGGGCTCTTGAAAACTAGCCAGGGAATATAGTATGTGCTGCACTCCTGCAGCACACGAGTCACATCGTCCAGCTTACCGTCTTTAGGCAAAGCGACGGGCCTCCCAGAAACCCTCTGCGTCGTCCGCCTCTCAAAGTCGTGAGTTTCTCCGTGCTGCTCATCTCCTCACATCTCTTGACCCGACGCTACTGCTGCTCGCATCAAGCTGCTGCACTTCTCGAAGCACCTTCGTTCAACGTCGTGTAGCCCAGTATCTTCGGCAATGCCTCTGTCACCAAAGACCTCGACGATGATATCCTTCACTTCCACGCCAAGTTCCCATTGTGCTCTTGTCAAACGATCCTGCAAGGAGTCGAGCTTGAGGCTGTTTATGGCGTCAAAGTGATCTGCGAGGTCTCGATTCAGCTCTTCTCGAGCGTCGTAAATGGTCGTTCGCAATTCACGCATGAGATCTGTCCACGCATCGGACGCCCTTGGACAGTACTTGTTGAGAAACTTGGAGAGCATAAGTGATCAGTGCAAAGCGCTGTCAGCGGGTGGGTGTTCTCAACGAGCAGTGGCGACGGCGCTACTCACCGTATGCCATGAAGCATCTCGCTTCCATGCTTTTCGCTTGCCGGAGAGGTCGCAAAGTTGCTTGACCAACACTCCCAAGTTTTCTACGTTCGCATTCTCGTTCCCGTTCGCGTGGTAGTTGCAGGCTCTCTACGGCAAGGTAGGAGGGATGCAGCACAAGCAAACACACAAACGACGCACAGAGGAAATCACCCAAGTCAGAATTGCGCGTCGAAAATCATCCAGAACCCACTTACCGTCCAGACGTGCAGGTACAATGCACTCTCCAAGTCGTCAATGTAACGATGGGAGTGCAGCGCTAGCGTTTTTAGTACACTGCGAAAGACCTCGAGCGTGGCGGAAATACGTTGCAGACCGGATTGGACGCCATGACTGGGATCTCTGTTAATAGCGGCTTGGAAGTCCCTCTGCGCTGAGTGAAGCGACTCTGCCCAAAGTTCGATCGCATTCTTGACTTCTAGACAGCAAGTAGGCAGAAACGCTACATTCGCCGATCTGGTGTCATCAGTAGCTCTGTCGAGCATCGCTTCGGCGTACGTCATTTCCGGTCGTTCTCTTGGGCTGAAGTTGCTCCGCATATTGCCCAAATCTACGAGTAGGAGGATGTCCGTGTGGCCTTGCAGAACACGAACGTTACCTGTATTTAGGTCACGGTAATGAAAGTTCCCCTTTGCAAGCTTGAAGAGCACGTCTACGAGCTGCATATGGATGCTCAGGACATCGCGGGGCGAGCATTGGGCGCCGATGCGGTCTCCGATGTGTTGCTTGGTCAGTAGCGCACAGGCAACGCGAGATCTGCTTGATGAGATGTCTAATTCCTCGCAGGGATTGCCTTGAAAGCCTGTGGTCGGGATCACTACCATGCCGTAGGCCACAGGGGCGTACGGCAAGCCCAACTTTTGAATGGTGCGCATCATCGCCAATTCATGTCTCAGCAGATGTGGTGCTAGCCATGAGATTTTGATCATGAGCACCGGTTCGTCCCTGGCGCCGCCACCCTCAGCGAAAACCGCAGTCTGGGATCCGAATGGTCCGGGCCGTCTTTCGAGTGGTTGCATTGCATTTGTGACCCTTTCACAGAGTGACAGATTGTCACCGTCCACCTCGATGTGGAACTCCGTCTGGGCTGTAATGTGCCATTGGCCAGCCAGGAGCGCAGAATGCTCCTCCAGAGATATGAGACGCAAGATCTTGACGAGCTCTACCTGATCGCTCTGAACTCGAGTGTCAAAGGGTAGAGAAGCAGCATAGGTACTGGCGTTGAGGTACCATAATCGTACCTTGTGTCCACACCACGTTAGAAAGTGGAAGTGGGAGATGGGAGCACGGTACTGACATACTCTGCGCTGACGATGCGGTCCAGTCGGGATGTCAGCACAACGTATCTGCGGCACAAAGTCCAACATCAGGAGTACTAGGAACTCACCGCATAACGCAGGACCTGTGAGCTAATATCGTCGATGAAATCTTCTGAGTCTTCCTTCTTGATTTTGACGAAGGTGAGACCGTTTGGCCAGGAGTACAGCTCTGTACCGTCCGGTGCCAGGGGAGGGTTTCGTGCCTGCACGAAAATGTCGGGCTTGTTCATCTCGCGATCGTCACCTTCCTTTACGAGCGCCATGCAACAGGCAAATGCGGGCATCCCTTGTCAGTTACAGTAACTTTACAGCGACCAAGGGGGTGTTCTGCCAACTCACGTTGAGTGTTCTGTACCTTCCTCTGGATACGAACCTGCCGTACTCTGAGTCTCCTACGCCCAATTGCTGACGCACTGCATCGCTCAATTCGCAAATGAAAGTCTCCATGACTGCCTCACTCTGTCTCACGGCATTATTGAGATTCCTGAAGACTTCGGTCACTTGACTTGAGTCTACGATGCGGATTGCAGAGCGATGAATGGCATCGTTTGTTTCGAAGCAGTACCACTTCGGGTGCATGCGGTCTAGGGCATCAAACTTGATCATCTCCTCGATTGCTCCGACACCCATGTTCACCATCGTCATGATGGAAGAGATACTCCATTGCCTCGGCGGGGTCGCTGGCCACAGAGCGGCTGCTTGTGATGCCTCGTTGTCTCGCTCAAGCGGCGGGAGCCCGAGAAGAGCACGCGGGAATGTCTTCACTTTGTCCAGATTCCTAGTGGTCGGATGCACATTGGGAGTCTGGAAGAAGAAGGTGTAGGGGGCATCCGGGCCCGCTGTGCTCTCCCCAGAAGATGGCGTGGACATCTGTGAGGCCCTAGAGCAGGGGGGAGATGTACGATAGTGGTGATGATGATGAGGGGAGCGGAGGCTGGTCACTTGGGTATATAGCCATCGTTCGGGCGGTAGAGCAAGGCAGGCAAAAACACTCCTCGGAGAGCGAGCCGCCGGCAGCCTGGTCCGCGTTGCGTCAGGGGCGCACTCTGTTTCCGTGCCTGAGCTCCGGCCTGCAGGGGCAACAGTGGAGCACCGGGCCGACACGCCCGCTCCCTTCTTCCCATTCACCCTCGCCTCTTCTCCTCTCCTTCATCGAGGTGGACAAGGAGGCAGGAGCTAGCTACAGTAGTGCTGCACTACCAGACAGGGTCCTTCCTATCCTCCTCGACCTCGAACAAAGGGGACAAGACTTCCATCGAGGGCGTCGGAGCACCGCACTCCACTTATTGCGCTCGCTGATCATTTGCTACAAAAGGGATGCAGACAGCCCGAGGGCGGCACTTGAGACGCCTGGGCAAGTCTCTCCTTGGGGCGGGTAACGACACTGAGCAGGCTTGTTACCCAGGAAAGTTCGCCAGCAAGCAAAGGGAGGGGGAGGGGGCGACGACCATGTCGACAAGACTGGCACTGCTAGAAACCTCCTCTGGAGCAGGCGTCCAGACGCAGAATGAAGAGAGAGAGAGAGAGGGTTCTTTGACTCCGTAAATGGCATCTCTACACTCTCTTTTGCCTTTGCTCGGCGCCACGCTCACTCTCTCTCGCGGCGATCATCGCTTCCATCTTTGTCCGCTCAGAGTTGGCCATAAGTGTCTGCAGTCAGCAAAAAAAAGCTAGAGCTACAGTACAGTACAGTACAGTACAGTCACAGTCACAGCCACAGTCACAGTCGCAGTCACAGCCACAGTCACAGTCACAGTCATAGTCACAGAGGTGGGTAAGCTCTGCATCTTGTTGAACAGTTGTTCGTCCCTTCTGGGTGGGTGTAGGGTGCGAGCGGGAGCAGAGCGGGGCTAACGACGCGACGACGATCACGACCACGAGGAGGTGGAGGGAGGACGCAAAAGGACACTCTTGTATTCCTTTCTTTTTCGCGTGCAAAGTCAAAGGTCAAGGGCCAAGGCAGATCCTGCTCATCTCTCCACTGCTCACGACTGCACTGGCCCCTCGCAGAGCTCAAGTATTGTACCAGCACCAGACGTTGTTGGCCTGAAGTGACTGGCGTGGCTTGGGTGCGCGACACTGCGGAAAGGCACTTCCGACACACGGCTCCTCCCCCCCCCCCCCCCCCCCCCCCCCCCCCCCCCCCCCCCCCCCCCCCCTCTCCCTCATCGCGCGTGCCTGGCATGCGGCCAACCTTCACTGCAGACCATGACGATGGCGCCGAGTATCTTGCCCTCCTAGTCGGATCAAGCACGAGCTCCTGCTGGGCACCATGTCCGATTCTCCTGCCCCGCGTCGATCCCAGCGGATTGAGGCAGCCCTTCGTTGTGAGCTTCCTCAAGCAGCAGCAGCGGACCTTGCTCTGGGGAACGCACCTCTTTCGCCTTCGACTTTGGCCATACCCACCTCACCCCCTTCCTCTCCTAGTCCTGATCCAACCAGACAGGATCGTACCTCTTCAGAACAGACTCTTCCTCCCCTATTGCAGCGGCTCTCTTTCATCATCGACTGGGATGATCCCACGCAAGAAATAGTCGATGGCGACCCACAAGCAGTTGCAGGGGTGTCCCACCTTGGCTCCATCTCGGCGGACTTGTCATGCGATACGCACTCAGCTCACCTCTCAGCATTCGTCTTTGCGCCGAGCTCACCAACGAAAGCAATTGATACGATGGATCACGAGATCATTGAGAAAGACGAGGTTGTGAGGGCCAGACTCCGGAGGGCTCTCCCAGCTCGCTGGCTGAAATGGTACTGCGTTGTGGTACCCGAAGCAAGGCGTGATCACCTGATCGAGGTTATCATGGCTTCCAAGGATGTAGTGTCAGTAATCGAAGAGGTACTCGAAGCTGCGACACGCGATCACATTGAGAAAGCCCTCGAGGAATTAGTCTGCAAGCTAGGCAATACAGTTCGCTCGAAGCTCTTAACGATGCGAGGGAAACACGACAATGGGTACGGCAAGTTCGTATCACGAGGCACAAAAAAAGTGGAAACTGTGAGTTCAAGCGATGAATCAGACTTGTGCGATGCGCGATCAAAGCTGACCAGGCTGGAGAGATCCCCTCTGACAGTCGGGCATTGACGATTCTGAAACATACCGGGCTGACATTGTAGTCCAGGAGGCCGACCCACCCCCTGCCAAGGATGGGGAGGTCAAGTATGAATGGAGTCAGCTCATGACGTTCATTGAGGTCAAGAGGAGAGACCGCCAAGATGGAAACGAAGCCCTCGCCATCCAAGGCATGCAATATGTAGTGAGTGACGCTGCTGTCGAGTTTCTGCTTGTCCCTCCTGCTGACCTTCGCCTCGGTTCCCTTCGATCAGTGCAAGCTCCTGGTGTACAGATCACTAACGTCACACGTCTACTTTCTGAGCTGGTGCGGCGGACTCGCCCGGCTTTGGTACGCAGACTCGGCTAGCTTCGGCCACTCTCGGGCGTTCTCCCTCAATGCGGCCCAGGATAGGCTGGAAATCGGGAGGTTCCTGTGCCTCTTGACGTCGGATGAGTGCAGTGGGCAAGTGGCTGGCAAATGGGACCCCGAAAAAGATCCTCCTGTGCAAGCCGTCCTCGACTCCAAGATAAAGACCTTGGATTGGCATCTCCCCCCCAGACTCCTGTATAGGCGCAGCTGGCCGTTCGGCTCTAGGACCGCTGTTTGGGTGGGCAAAACACTCGAGATGGTCAAGGACGTGGACCAGAGTCGATGGATGATTTTGAAGTGCTCTTGGGTGCCCCGGCATCGCCTCGGCCACGAGCCAAAGATGCAACAGCGTCTTGAGGGCATCGAAGGTACTCCAAGGCCGTTCGGGAGTGCTGTCATTCCCCCCGACGTCATAGAACAGGGCTTCAAAGTGGAGACTGTACAGCAGCTCGACCCCACGGCGCGGGATAATCAGACTGGCCTGCACCTATGTGCCATAGTCTATGAGCATCGACTTGGTGAGATGATAGACCCGAGCATTCCCACATCGATTTTGGTACACCTTCACGCACAGCTTGTGGACACTCTGCTCAGCTACGCTGGGAGAGCCCTCCACTATCGAGACCTCAATACGGGCAACATGTTAATCCAGAAGGGCACCAAAGACAAGCTGTTGCTGGTTGACCATGGCGGCATGAGAGAGTTTCTTCGCCCCAGAGGTGCAGAATGGAGAGGGGACACGACCGTCCTTCTCAAAAGAGCGGAAGACGACGCAAGGTCAGCCAATCTCCTGTTCCTGCCGAGCGCCAATTACACCGCTCTGGATCATCTCAAACGCTGGGGGAAGAACATGGGTTTCTTGGAAGCAAATCAAAAGAAAGCCCGGACGACAATGCCAGAGAATGCTCTTCCAGCTGAAATGGAACGACTTGCGATCGAGAGACTGCCTCGCTTGAGGGAGCTTTTGCTTTCACTTGTCCAGCTCAGCCATCGTTACATCGACGATCTAGAATCCGCACAATATCTGCATATCTGGCAGGTTGCCTCGAAGAAGGAGAACGTTCGGTCTGGAATACAAGCGAAAGTTCAAGTTTTCTTGTTGGACAAACGCGACAAGCAGGCAGCTTGGTCAAGCCATACGAATTGGAGTGAGGTAAGTGTCTTTACCTATATCGCTCCAGCCTAGGAGTCTATGTCTGCTGCTTCTGACCCACCTGGTACCCCTCTCCTATCACTGCATCTCATTATCTCAGGAACTACGGACATGGTTCCCGTTGATGGAAGATTGGTGCACGATGATGTGCTCCCTGCGAGATCAGATCTTCGCGGCCCAAGAATCCTGGCGCAAGTCTGTCGTGCCTATCTTTGACAAACTTGTGAGCTTGCCCATCCTCGAGACAAAAGTAAAGGAAGCCTGCAGAAGTGGAAACCTCGTCACGGCCAGCGAGGCCGTCATCGCTGCCTTCGACAGGACAGACACCCTACTGAGTCAAGAAAAATTGCAGACCGTCGAAAAAGACTGCTTCGTTCACTGCAAGGGACTGATGGACGCATCCAGTGCAAAGGCAGTGATGGACGGGGCAGCTAAAGCTCTCAGCATTGAAGGAAATTGAGTTAAGGGCAAGTCATGTTCTTGACGAGCGAGGTTGAGAACTACAGGATTGTCCTGTGCGGTGAGGTTGACAGCAGCCGACGCAAGATCTCCGGAGAGGCTTCGGTCATCGAAGAAGTTGGAGTCTCCATTTCCATGTACATATCAAATTAGGCCGCCCCCCCCCCCCCCCCCCCCCCCTCATCCATCTCTCAAAGACACTCTTCGTAGCGAGCGACGGCCTGCGTGCCCGTATTGCCCTCGGCATCAGATGCAAGATCGTACGCGTTCTGTCATGCTATTCGGGCGAGGAAGATCTGCGCCCCTTCAGTCAGAATCAACATGGAGGCGACGTTGCAATCGTTGTGCTTCTCAAAACTCTCTACAGGCACATAATACCGCTTGTGCGAAAGCAGCAAGTAGAGCCTGGCCCTACTATGTCCCATCTGTCTGTGTCAATTGATCCCACTCAGAAAACCCGTGTGTCGTGATCAAGAGGCCTCGGCGTACACTACTGGGCTTTGCATACGCAAACGCATCTCACATCTCCAATCTCATGAGACACTGAAGGATATCGGATTCATCATCCCGGTGCCCTGAGCGCACTGCTGGGAAGGCGGCGGCGAAGCAACTACTTTATTGTGGGATCTCTGTCTACATCGACTGCCGAGCGCGCAGGGAAAGGTTGGCAGGCGCCCAATTTCGTACAGCATCATGAGACGTGCTAGGAGGCAAGAGGCGGAGGGCAGATGCATCTCTCTGCAGCTGTCTCTGGTCGCTTGACGTCGTGTAGCCACGCTAGGTGTCATAAGGTCGATGGGATCGGCAGCATGTAGGAGACTGCGTCCTAGCGTCTCAGTCTCTGTGAGCAGAGGTCAGAAACCACAGAGGGTGTAGATGGTCGATGAGGATTCTGGAAAGAGGAGAAGCCGAGTAGGTCATCGAGTGAATAGGATTTGAAATAGTCATGCAGTGCAAGAGGTTGGTTCGACCCATGCTGGTACAGTCTTTGGGAAGAGAGTATGAGTGGCTTACACCCTTTCACGCACTTGAACAACCGGTAGCCCGGTCCCCCGCCAATGCCGAGAGCACAACGCCTCTACCCGTTTCGATCTGCGTCCCTGTCCGTGCAACTGTCCAGAGAGGCTCAGTCCTTGTGTTTCGCAACGTACTCGTCTCTGACGATCTTGGGTGGGTGGATGTTCCATTTTGATGGCTCTGCAGGCGACGGCCTGCTCAGATGTGCGAGGGACCGGGGAAGTAGCTACCTGGATGACAATCTGCCCAGAAGGATGGACAGTCTGCCGTCCTGTGGTGTGCGTGTCTGAAGTTGCGTCGAGGGGTGGCTTCTGCCGAATTCAAAGCTCGTCTGATTCCCTGCTCATGCTTGTATAGCGCCGACATTGTCGAATAAGATCGCTCAGACAGAGTACATCCTTCCGTTCATCGTTGATCAAGTCACCGCTCTTCTAAGCCAGAGCGTGGGGCCTTTTCTTCGAAGAAGAGCGCATGTCCCGATCCGCTCGCGAGCGAGCGGGGTAGAAGCGGGTGGCACACGTCGAGTGATTATGCGCGAGCTCTTCTCGTCCTAATACGGGACTTTGGCTGCTGGTATCCTCCTCTGCAGCTGTCGTTCGGTAGGCCTTCTATCCAATGTATAGCTGAGGATTGAGCTGGTCGATCAATGCCTCTCTGGCGTGTCGGTCTTGGAAGCAGGGCTCTCGGCTGCTCGTTGAGTCTCACGCACCAAACTTCTGAAGATGACCTTTTCCATTGCTTGCATCAGCTCCTTCCGCAAGCAATTACCCTAATCGGAGTCCATCTCCGGCAGCTCGAAGCTTCATCATTGACCTCCTGGTGTGCTGCGCATAGCCTTATGGAGACGAGATAGAAGATGGGATGAGCGATCACCTGATCAGGTCTCGAAGAAACCGAGTGTGTAGATCAATCGATGCCTGAGAACTGGTAGCGATGCGGCGAAGATCGCGCGGGCTTCATCGTGACCCCTGGTCCATTTTGAGATCCCGCCAAGACTGGACCGGATGAACGAAGTACCCTTGAGTGTGGTACAGGCATGTGGGATCGTCGACGTCTCGGGTGAGGACTGTTCTGAGGCAAGCGTGGGCGAGTTGATGCTGTATCTTCGGCAGTCTCGTCCTTCATGATGGCGTCTGCTTGCTCTAGAAGAGGTGAGAAGTGCAGACGAGGAAATCGGAGCAATGAACCACCAGCGCATTCTCCGTGAGACGCTGGAAGACCCCAGTGGCTCTGTCATGAGTGAGCCTCAGATGGGTGAGTCTCTGTCAGTACCTTGACAGGACCCGGCCTAGTCTACTAGGGAACCTCAGTCTGCAAGTCATTGCAGCAGTCGTACTGACTCCAGCCAAGACAGCCTCTGTGTCTGCAGATGAGGATCATCAAGTCATTACCGAGAGAAGTGTTTTGACCTTGCTCGACAAGCACTCGGCTGCCTGTCCACAAGCCACGGGCTCTGCGGTCTTCGTTTCCCATGATGGCTTGGGGGTCAATGATCTCCTCGCCGCTTGTGTGAGAATCGCATAGGACTGTTGCACTTGATCAGCAGCAGTGCCTGTGTTGAACCCAGTAGGGCTGATAACTTCCCTGGAAACATTGCTCGAGACCTGAGTATATTGCCCAAGACTGAGTACACCGCCCAAGACCTCGGTCTCTGCCGACCCAGTGGCCGATCTCTCCGTCTGAATTTACTTCATCTACCGATGTGCGAGCCGTTCCGCCAGATGCCTTTCCGTCTTCGAATGCAATGTCAAGGGAAGGCTCCCCGTGCTAGTCTCTCTCTCTCTTGTCTGTCGTGCTCGGCACATTGGCGATACTGTATCGTCGGAGAGTACATTCCTCTGACGTTGTCACGATTGCCTAGTAGATAAAGCTGGCGGAAGTTGTTGATAGATCTCAAGGGGAAACTTGTACTCGGGTGATCGTTGAAAGCTGAGGCAACTGTACTTGTAGTCGATGAGCGCATGGTGGTCCTGGAGGACGTCATTGCCAATGAGGACTTTCTGAGGTCCGCCTGATATGAGATAGAATCTGACATCTATTATGATGGCTGTCTGGCCACAGACGAAGCCAACATCCAGGATGACGTACTGGTTGATGATCTGAGAGCTTTCACCCATGCCCTTTACGGGAAACCCAGCATGATTGACCCGCTGAATAGTAGCATTGGGAATGTGCTTCTTCAGGTGCCCAGCTTCGATGAGTGAGATGGAAGAGCCGGAGCCGATGCAGGCCTTGTGGGGCCCTGGCTGTGCTTGGAGATAGACGATGGCTGTGGCCGGCTTCTTGTCCGAGGAATGAGGGACATCTTTGCGGCCGTCGGGTCTCTTGGTTCGTAGTCTGATAAAGTGCCAATGTTCAGAGCGGAACTCTCGAGGTTCGGGTGGAGGAGAGGGAGTGGTAAAATCCCCGTCGCGCTCGAGCTGTGCCTTGGTGCGCGTTTCTACAACGTGGACTTGGTGGCTAGGGTTCATCTGAACAGGACTTGCCAACGTCGTCGTCGATGGGGCGTGGGGCGGTCCCTTGGGATGAATGAGCTTCTGACTTCTAATGACCTTGTGTGGGTGTAGTTCTGCGGCATGGAGACCTTCATGGAGTGTGGGCGTGTTGGAGAGGGGCAGAGGAGCCATTGATAGGGGACTGAGTTCCTCTGGCAAGGTCGTAGCAGGCGGTGCAGAAGCACATCGTCCTCGAGTGTTGGCAATGTGTGCTGCTTGTCGTCTTCGAATCGCGGGCATGGTGTAGGGCAGACTCGAGGGTTGCGGTAACCCTCACAGCAGATCAATCAATCAATGCCCAGCGCTAGTCTCGAGGGGGAGGTAGGTTGCCCCAAGTCCCGAGTCAGAGGTGTCCAGCGTGCGTTGAGCCAATGCCCGCCGAGGAAGGCTCCACTGCAGATTGTCAGAGGTGATGGGGGTGGGTGAAAATGCAGGGTTGTGAGGTAAGCGTCACCGAATCAAAGTCTGTATCCTCGATGTAGCCTTGCCTGGGTGGGATGGTGAGGATCACTGGTAGCGGTGACCAGGACCAGATGAGGGCCGAAGTGATCGGACCAGGCCACGGACCATCCTCACCACCACTGGCCCATCTCGCGCCGCCAAGCCACCGCCCGCGCCTCTCCCAAATCCACGTGGCTCAGTCCGGCCCAAGGGCTCTCCACGGCGGGGCAACAAGGATCACAGTCTACTTGTTCCCCGACTGCCTCCTCCTCCTCCTCCTCCTCCTCCACCATCCACCACCATCCACCCCCCACTCCACCTCTCTCCTCTACGGCATGGCCACCGCCCCCCCTGGGCAGGCTCACGCCGCAGTCGGAGGCAACCCGGATCCACCCTACACCTTCTATTTTCCCCCGGCACCGCCGCCGCCAGATCCCGACAAGACGCCCACCAAGTTCATCCCTCGTGTCATCCTGGGACTGCACCCTATAGAGAGAGACCCCACTTCAGAGAGCTCGAGGCTAGCGGATGCCATCTCAGGCAGCCCGCCCACCCATGCTGCCGTCACCGCTGCAAAGTTGCTGGATGATATCAATGCGATAGAACAGGGCCTCTTGAAGGACGGCACTGGCCGATGGCATCCTACCCTCTACACCATGGACACATCATCAGAAGTTCATCAATCTGCGGAGAAGATCCGGGACTCGCAGCAGATTACTGGGCTCTTCGCGAACATCAACGAGGCAGTGAAAGCCAAGAAACACGAGAAGGACATCGTGAGGATCATCTGCCAAATAGGCGATGCGGTGCGCAGGCAATTGCAGCCCACAGGAGCGGGTGATGACCATCGACCGCAATCGGACTATGGGCGATTCGTTCGAATGGAAAATGTCAAGATGGACAACGTGAGTAGGGCTGTCATCGAGCGGCACCCGTAGGTTGACTTTCGCTAAGCAGACACTAGATGCATTCACACAACAGGACGCGGCGGATCCTGAGGTCAACAAGGTCGACATATTTGTACGGGGAAGCAAGCCCTCGAACGGCAAGACCAAGAACCACTGGTCGAACGTCGTTGCATTCATAGAGGTCAAGAGGAGAAACTGGCAAGAACTGTTGGAGACGACCGCCCTGCAGTGCTTGCGTTATGCAGTGAGTTCGGAAGCTTTACAATCGTGCAGGACTCCATCATGACATACCTTCCGTGCCCTGCATTGCTTTGCCAGCGTAAGATGTGTCAGTACCGTGTAGTCACCTCTCACATTCACTATGTGACATGGTGTGGAAACAGATTGCGGCTCTGGTACCTGGATGCAGTCCTCTTTGGCTGCTCTCGACCTTTTGACACTCGGGACTCCCTGGATCAGATTGAGATCGTGAAAATCTTGCGCCTGTTATGCCTGCAGGAACATTCCGCGATCCTGACCGGTCACTGGGATGTTGCGGCCCAGCGTGAACTGCAAATCGAGGCCAACGAAGCGGCTAAAGTCACAGCACGCACAATTCAAATCTCAAAGGGACTGCAACCGCTCTATGTACGCTATGGACCTTTCCGAACCCGTACTGCCGTCTTTGCTGATCACGTCGACGACGCGGATCAAATCGATGACTTCGGCAAGGTTAAGGTGACCATGGTCAAAGCATCCTGGGTAGCACCGCATCTGGTGCCACACGAGTTGATGATTTTAAAACACATCCAACGAAAGAAGAGGTTGCGGAGAAACTTACCACTCCTGCCGATACCGATTGGCTTGGCACAGGTACCAGCTGACTTTCAGCGAGCCACCTCACAGAAGACGAGACCACGTTCCGGCTTCCCATTCCCCGCTCGGGCTATCTGTTCCCTGGTGACCCAGCAGCATCTTGGCTATCCCATACCGATAGATGTCTCCCCGCCTCGACTTGCAAGACTTCACAAGCAGTTTGCGGAACAGCTCTTCATCCTGGCAAAAGGAGGCGTTCATTACCGCGATGTCAGTAATGGCAACATGCGCATCCTTCGTGGTACCGACGACACGCTCCTGATCATAGACCTTGGAAACGCGAGACTGGGTATGAGGCCCCGAGGACATGCACCAATTTCGGACGCCGAAGCCACAATTGACGGAGCCATAGACGATACGCGGTCTGCGACTCCAGAGTTTCTGCCCCTGTGCTCCACCAAGGTGAAAAAGGGGCCCAAGAGCTGGAACATGACGATGCAAGATCTGTCGAAGAGCGCCCGACTTCTGTTGGAGAAGACTGGCAATGGAACTGACAGCTTTCACGAGGGAGTGCGAAACATGATCTCGGGCAGCCTTGGCACACTTCGCAAGGCATTGAAAATTGCAGCTGTGCACAGTCATCGTTACATCGATGACCTGGAGAGTGCAACATACCTTCATATGTGGCAAGTGAGTGAGCTATTATCAGGCTTACAAGTGGGAACACGTACCACCGGTGCGGTGTGTTCAGTGTCACAGTAGCTGTGTGTCTTGGGAGACTGCTCGAGCGTTGACGTTACCTCTTTTGCCTTTCTCTTCGTCCTCGCTTCCCCGCCCTTGCCGCAGATGGCTCGCAGGTCCGGGAACACCGATCAATTTTCAACGAAACTGACGACACAGGGTGAGAAGGATGTATTCTGGGAAGAGACTGGACCGCTGAATACTGTGAGTAGTCCGACAACTGTTTGTGGTGAATTTAGGCTGACAGTGCTCGCGCTGTTGACTTGTGATCATCAGACCATGGATAATTTCTGTCCTGATGCTAGCGAAGAATGGAAGTCTCTGATGCGGGGCTTGCGAGAGACTATCCACGCGGCTCAGGAACAGCTTCGTCACGAACTTGAGTCTCAATTTGAGCGCGACGTGCCTCTCTCAGCCTTGAAGACTGCGCTGAAGGACTTGCCAGTGGGTACAGACCGCTGCAAGGAAGTGAAGGACATTGTCAACCGCCTCTTTGAAGGGAGGGGATTAGCCAAGAACAAGATACTCCCCACAGAGGTCAACTGCTTCGAGGAGTGCATTCGACTCTTGGACGATGCAGCACGGAAGCTCGAAGACGAACACAAGCAGGAGCGGCAAGCAGTCGAGGAGCGCGAACAAGCAACTGAGGACGAAAAGCGAGCAGAAGAGAAGATGAGGCGAGCAAAAGAGAAGATGAAGCGAGCACAACGGGAAAAGAGGCGAGCAAAAGAGGATAAGAAGCAAGCAGTCAAGAGGTTGAGGGAAGCTGTGGAGGAGAAAAAGCGAGCAAAAGAGGAGAAAGAGCGAGCAAAGAAGAAGATGAGGCAAGCAGCCGAGGAGGAAAAGCGAGCAGACGAGGTGACGCAAGCTCTTCTGAAGCGGCCGGCGTCACGAGAGGAACCCAGAAGCTCTCCGACGAGGAAGAGGAAGCGAAGGAGAGGCGACTCACGACCTATACCATGATCCTTCACTTGCGATCCGTACGATTTATACCCCTCTTCTGCAGCGCTTCGAGCAGGCAAAGAAGTCAATATACCTTTTCATCTACCACTGCCCTCCATACCAAATCTATGAGCATATACAACAAATAAGGCGTCATCTGCCATATCTTCGATTTGTTGAAAGCGACGCCGACATTGGAGGCCACAAGTGCGATCCTGGTGTATTTGCAGAGAACAGACGTCACAAATGCGTTCCGCACCTTGGCGACCAGATAGTATTGCAGGAGACGTCAGGAGGCTCAAAAAGAGCCTTGCCATGCGTTGTGGCCCTGTTGATAATGAAGCCAGTAGCGGATGCGACTTCCCGTACGTACTTCTCCCTCGCCCAGAAAAGTGAGTGATAGATCAACGGTAGGATCAGAAGGCAAGGAGGAACAGTCTAGGTGCCGGAAGAGGTCCGAACAGAGTGAAAGCTCAGCACAAGAGAACCTATACCTCCAGCGTGTCGGTACCCATGATGGAAGAACTAAGGCCCCGAGTGCCAGAGTGACGAACAGTCGTAACGCAGTGAGCAGAAGGCTCTAGTGACATACAGTGTGTGTAGCGGATCATGCAGAAGACAACCCAAAGGGACAGCTGGGCGTCCGCTGTTGAAATGGGATCACTTGATCGAGCGTCCACTGTTGTGCGTGTCACGACTATGAGTCTGAGCGGTGACCTTCATCGAGTGGTGCCACAGTAAAGCATGGTGCAATGCGTGTATGAGAGTGAGAAGCGTCACTTTCCGCCAAGTGGCCTGATCACGTGACTTGCAACAGTGCGTCTGTCAACTGGACAAGCATCCGATATCAGGAAGCTGTCATGCGAGAATTCGAGGGGGTCATCCGAACTTTCATCCGATAAGCATCCGATATTTGGCAGCGCTCATGCGGGGATTCAGGGGTAGCATCCGAAAGCCATCCGAAAGGCATCCGATAAAAGAGGGGCATGCGCGGAAGAGGCGTGCAGGAAGACGAATCGCGGGCGTGTGCGGTCCACATCAAAGCACGTGGGCGGATGCCCTGAGGTTCTTGCCCGTGTGTCCATCGCCTTGCCTCTCTACCGCGGGCGGCATACGCTCTACCCGCCCCCAGTCGCGTCTGACAATGGGAGGTCCAGTATGCTACGATACATTGCTGGGAAGCGCAGTGTTGAATGGTGGAGAGGCATGTCACGCCTGAGTCCGTCATCCACCAGCTCTCATTCTTGCGGTGATCTGCACTGCGGAGTGGATCGCTGTAGTCCATCTCGATGCAAAAGCAGGATCACGTTCAAGGATGGCCTGATCCTGCTCTTGGTTCTTCTCAGGCACATGGAACCTTCTGAGGTCTTGGTCACTTGCATCACCCGCCTCTTGCTGTACGTCTCTTCGGAGATCAGGAGCAGCTCGTATCGTTATCACTCATCATCGCTTGGCTCTTCTTAGCCTCCCAGCACTTCGCGTATACGTCTGGCCGGTGCTCGGGGTGCACTACACTACTGCCTCTACAAAAGTCCTTCACAATCTTCGTCGTGGTTGTTTGCGCCTGCTCCCATTGCTCGCACCTCCGCTCTTTGCTCCAGCGGGCAACAGCAACAGCAGCAGGAGGCAAAGCTCCACGCAATGCCGCTCAAGCTCACCTACTGTACCCCCTCGACCTTGCCTTCGATCATTTTGTGGATTCCTTTGATATCCCAGACGCTTTCTTCTAGTGACTCTTTTCCCACGGACCCAGGCCCAACGGCTGTAGGATGGGCCGGAAGGTGACACGTGGCCCTGAGGATCGTTGCGGTAGCCCCTTCCGTACCTTGCTAGCGGCTGCTGATCAGAAGAGGCGGGACAAGGCACACTGTCCTCGCCCTGAGCTCCCCGGAAGGAGAGAGATCGCCGCGTCACGTCCAAGCAGATCCGTATTCTCTCGTACGCCCGTTACTCGGACTCTATTTGCCCTCTACCATCCTCCAAGAAGCTTCACCGGGAGCAAATGAACGACCGCGGCAGTCACTGCGATTCGCAGATGGGCTCCTGCGGTGAGAGACAGCTACAGTCCCACAAGCGCAAGAGGCAGGAGGAGCAAACCAGTATCGAGCGAAACACCACGGACACCTCCCAGCCCACCAAGCCAGGACCAATCCCTCCAAGCATTGGGCCAGACCTCACTCAGCTACACACCTTGCCCCAGCTAATGGCGCAACTCAAGCTACGACTCCCAGAAGTGGACGAAGAGGCATTGAAAGGAGTCGCCGAGTTTCAATTGAAGAACAACGCCAGCACACTGCGACGCATTCGACTCGCCAAGGCGCAAGAAGAGGGCGATGACTCGGACGCCTTTGACGAGATCAAGGGAGTCCCTCTGACGGTGCCACTGAGCAGGGAGACCTGGTACGATTGGGTGAGGCAATTGAAGCGTCTCACATCTCTCATCGATTATGCGGACGACATCCTCTTTACCGAGGATCACGTCGAGTTCACACCTTACCTCACCAAGCTCGACAAGAGGCTCTCGTCCACCATCTTTTGGGTCATAGGAGAGACCGGAGCAGTCGCAATCGACTACACCATGAACTCAGGCTGCTGCTCGAGCGGTCGCAGTCTCTTTCGCTTCCTAGAGTCGCAGTTGAAGCCGCACGGGGACTGGGAGCAAGTCTTGATTCTTTTCAAGCTGAACAGAGTGGCTGTGTCTTACACCAACGTTGACGAGGCCATCAAGCGAATCGAACGACTATCACTCCGCGCCTCGGACCTCGAGGTGCCAATCTCAGACGCCTACAAGTGCGCCATCCTCCTCTGTGTGACACAAGATGACCAATGTTTCGCTGCGGCTTGGGCTGCTCTGATGCGTACCAGGTCGTGCACCAATTGGGCAAATGTCAGCAGCATCTTGCACTATGCACAGAGAGATGCACAGTCCACACAGCCTCGACCTGGTGGACTCTAGTCGCAGACGTCAGGATCTGCTGTGGTGACCTTGCGAACAAGTATAGCATTACCGAAGGACAGGAGAAAAGCCAGTCCAACCACTCAGAAGAAGCAAGCACGGCCTCAGCGACCCCCTCTCATCAAGGCAAACGGCTCTATCTCAGGGACTCCGATGGCTTTCTTCGCACACAAGCTTCAGCCCTTGCGTCAATGCGCACTCTCTTGCTTCCTCGCCTCAATTTCTTTCTGCTACAGCGAGCTCTGCCTGAGCATTTCTATGCTCGACTTGACCTGATCCTTCATCTCTTGGCCGTCAGCACCGAGGCTGCTGGAGGTGAGGCGCGCCTGCCTCAAGTCGAATCGAACCGGTGTCACTCAGATCACAAGGTGTGGTCAAGCTTGCTGTCATTGTGAGTAGGGTACGCACTACGACTCATTGCTTGCCATGCCAGTCAGGCTGACTCACTCGAGGCGGTTACTACACACTCTCGTCATCATCCAGCCTCTGTCCTTTTCGTCCACCTTCCAATCCCACTGGTCGATCCAATTCTCGCAGCCCCTTGCCCACGCCTCACCGCCGCTCCTCACAGAGTGCCAAGGCCCGACAAGAGCTGGTCTGGTCCCGTGGGCTACCCTTCTCCCTCGCTTGTCTCTCAACACTTTGCATTCTCCAGAGATCAATGAAAAAAAAACAAAAAAAAAACAAACAATTGCCAATGTCACCTTTGCATGTTTGCCCCCTTTGGCTCTTCAGCAGTCTGCTCTTCAGCAGCCCCCAATTCGCCTCATCTCTGTACCTGTACCTGTGCAATCTCCATCTACGGGTGGGTGGCCCTGGCTGTGTGCTCATCCACAGACATACAGTACATTCCTGCATGCTACAAGAGCTGACGACGGTCTTGTCCTCCTCCTAGCGAGGTGCAGGTGCATCTGGGCTCTGAAATAATCCTAGTCGCTTGTGAGAGGAGCTCCACTCCAAGAGTTTGATTGATTGCATTGATACATCCCCATGACCATGACCATGACCTCTGGGGACACCACTAATCTTGTTCTGCACCTGGATACAGTAGTGCAGATTAGGATTTGGATTTGGATTTGGAAGGCTGGACATCTGCCCGAAGATTGCATTACCATTACAGATGCGATGTCGTCTGCGAAGAGGAGCGAGAGGCGAGCATGCAATCCTCCTTTCGCATGTGTACTGTACATGTAGGGTCGCCCTCGGGGAAGGGTACGAGCGGCACGCGTAGCAGCAACAGCGTCAACTTCTGCCCAGTACTGTATCGACAGCGGATCAAGGGGAGCGGAGGAGGTTGGAGCTGCCGAGAGGAGCAAACAAGTCTTGAGAAGAAGGTGTCTGAGCATTTGCACCATTGACTCACAACTTGTGCGGTTCTGTGCTTGGAAAGTGTGTCGGGGTCGGTTGAGTACGTGGGCAACGTTGGCGCAGATTGAGTGCAGCGATGCGAGGTGGATTGTTAGGCTACACTTCCGCCTGAGTGAGTCTGGCATTCCTTTCGTAGAGGAGTCGCCACAGTGGCAAGGGCTGTACGAATTAAGCGGCCAAAACTGCTCATCAGCTGGAAGTGGAGAGATGAACAAGCCTGCGTGAGAGCAGTCTATGAACCTGTTAGAACGTTCAAGTGCGACACCATGAGCCGATAGACATCGCTCCACTGCTTATTGTGGTACTGTACCAAGGTGTTGGGGTCCAGGCAGAACAGCAGCCGGCTTTCGTCCGATTCACGAATGGAGCTGTACGCAGCATGCATTTCAGAAGTCCGGAACCAGAGGCAGAGGCCTTCTGCGGTGATCTTCGTGGTACCGGTGCGCTCATTGTGAGAAGAACAGGCAGAGTAGTCCACCCTGGTGAAAAAGCAGTGGGTCTGGTGTGACCTGGAGCGCGCTGAACTGTCTGCTCATCCCAGATCGACGGACTTACGAGCACCGCGGATTCCTGAAGCCAGTATACCTCGAACAGCAGCTTAGAGACCACTGGATGTCCCACCCATGGGAGAACGGCAGAGCCGAAAGCAGCGTTGCGGCTATTGCCTCATAGATTTGGGCCGAGCTCCTTTCCATGAGAGTATATCCGAGAGACCAGGTTGTCCTCCTTGTCGGCCGAAGAGGATTCAGTCCTCGTACATGTTGTTCCCTCTTTGCGTTCCATCTGTCGAACGAGATTCGAGAACCCTAGTCATATTGTCTTGTCCAAGCTCTTGCGATCTCAGCGGGGCCCTTCTTGGTGGACGTGCCGCACTGGTGGCAGCGCTCAAAGGTCCGAAGCCACTGCAGAGAGAGACTCCATGTGAGTCACTTGCATCTGCTCAAAGGGGAACTGTATGGCAAGCAGAAGAGATCAAGATGGGGCCCTTTTCGAGGGTGACTCTTGATGACATGTTCGGAGCAGGAGCTCGAAGAGACACTAGAAGTGATTACATCCGAGAGCCTGAACTTCCTCAGAGATCTTTCTAGCAAGTTCACTGAAACTACGCTGCGCCAGCCTAGAGGACAAAACAGCCATTCACAGCTCCAAGTCGAGCCTTGCATAAGATGTCTGAAGCAGACGTGGTCTTAGGACTCCATGATAAGGGATTGCGTCTTCCGTGTCGTCTCAGTGAGCTCGCTCGCAGGAATTGATTTCGAGGTCATAAGCGGATTGCAAAGCTCCCTGCGTCTTGCAGGATATCGCCGATAGGAGGTAGCGCATGCCTGCTCCAATCGCATAACCTTCGTGGCGTTTGAAGCCAATTGTGGCGATGCCTTGGAGAGGAAGCCATTTTGACAGTCCTTGTATTTTCATCTGTGGGCACGCTGACATGACTTCGAATTGTTCAAGTCGCCAATCGGCAAGATGTCCTCCTGTCGAAGTGATACTGTGGCCGTTGGTTCTAGTCAAGCACTGCCGTCTCGCGGTGACAAGGATCGGTTTACTGTAGTAGCCCTCGAAGACTATCTAGCTGCTGTACAGACCCGAGTGGTCATCGTGTGACCTGAACAGTCTTAGCAGGATCGAGTAGAGTAGACCAGTACACGAAGTCTGTCTAGGCGGCCCAAGTTGGCCACTCAGTCGTCTGCGCTTCGATCGTCGTTGCTACTGTGTGGAGTCAGTGGGGTTGGGCGCGTTGAATTGCTGAGGCCCAACTGCACAGCCAGTCGGCGATTCCTTCGGCGTGGAAGCGATCTTGGGATTGCAGTCTTGTACAGTGTCTGATGCTACTGGTCCGAATCAGCGATGCGATGGTCGAGGAGGAAAGCCCATCGAGGTTTGGAAAGAAGTGTCGAGAGCGTGATGGGTCAAAGCCTGCGCAAAGGCTTGGAGGAGGTCACCGGGTGTGTCTGGGTAGGCAGACGTGGATGAGTGCGGTGGGGGGGTGCTTGTCATCAGTGCCTGCTTTGCAGCCTCTGCCACTGTAGTCTAGTCTGCCTCTGGCCCCAGCATCCTTCCAACGTTGCAAAGAAGCAAGGAACAGGGGCCTCTCAGGGGCCTCCGCCATGGCCTGCAAACAGGGGCGGAAGCGCACACGTGGCCCCAACCTCCGTTCCGGCAGGGGAACAACCACCTCTGGACCCCCTCCAAGGCAGCCATCTCAACTACCATTGATCCTTTTCATACGATTTCAAGCACCTTGTCAACTTCGATATCATCGAGCCCTCTCTTCAGCGCATACCCCAGCCTTCGTCGGTCGGTCAAGGCAGCGGCGTCGCAGGCGTGCACCGCATTGTCCCTGGCCAAGATAGTCTCGTCGGAGGACAAGCAGGAACACACTGACAAGGCAGGCGACGACGTGAGCTACCCGCAAGCAGCGCCCATCGCTTCCCGTGGGCAACTCGAGCAAGATGACCAGTCGCCGCCATCTTTGGAGCACGTACAGACCTGCGAGCCCTACCGCTGCACAGCAGGAGCACGACATCCTCGAAGCCCGGGACATAATCACCAAAGAAGCCACCCCGCTCAGTCGAGACGATCGGCATCGTTGGATAAGAGAGCTCAAGCGTACCATGTGCCTCATCAGCCATGCAGGATGAGCTCCTGTTCGGCCAAAACGCCCTCAAATATGCTCCTTTCTTCAGAAGGCTGGACCAGAGACTCGGCGCTACCGTTCTACTCATAACGAAGGCTGACGGTCTCATGGCCATCCGTCCTGAACTCCTCACGGAACTAGACTGGCCAGCCGTTCGGGAGCTCTTGAAACACATTGAACCGCCACTGAGGCCTTGCGGTGATTGGAAGCAGATCTGTAATCTCTCTTCAGCTTCTAAGCAGTGGACTTGACGAATGGCGAAATTGACAACGCTCTTGGAGAAATCAGCAAGTTGGCCATCGACGCCTCCGATAAGGTGTTGCCGGCACCTAGAACGCACATGTGTGCGATGTTGTTGAACTTGACCATCGACAAGAAGACGTATGTCGGGGCTTGAGAGCATTTGCAGGACTCGAGATCATGCACCAATTGGATTGCGGAAACCAGAGCACTTCTTGCGCCTCACCAGATTGAGAGAAAGATGCAAGGTCGAGCCGATATCGTTGCAAACAGCGCTGGAGGTACTGCCGGGATCTCGCTAGCAGTCATCACCAGAGCGCACCGAGCGCTCCAGCTATCAGCGATCAATCGAACAGACAAAGAGCGAGCACAAAGTCTGCAACAAGCCTGGGTGTCCTACGTCACTCGTGCTTTCTCCAATGTTTCTGCAACACCGTAGCTCTCTGGGTCCCCTGTGTTCTACTTTGGTGTCATCAACAAGCTCGGCTCAGACACCAACAGTGCGGTCGAGATGGTCTGGATATTTCCGAGACTAGCCTCCGGCTATGCAAGACTAGTCACCGTGAAGCACACGAGCAGAAGAAAGTTATCCCCTCTATTGACGTACCTTGAATGCGCCGAAAGCCAGAGCCGACACCAATCCTACTATCTCGGCAATGTCCTACGACGTTCGATCTGCAGCGAACGTTACCTTCTCTGAAAGCGGAAGAGACTTGATGTCTCCTTCTGCGCAGCGTGCAGTAGTGCCGCGATTGTCATCGAGGATACCCCACCATCCTTTCTCAAGCAAGACGGAAGACACCTCTTCCAATTACAGATCGTACAGTACAGCATCCGCGCTGTTCGTGAATGAAACGGATACCTTCATCACCTGGTAGAGACTCTGACTCACTCCAGTACGTCCCTACGTACGCTTCAGTGGCACAGTCTCCCTCCTCAATCCCTGACCAATTTCAGTACCTCCAAAACCCACTGAACCGTGATGTCTTCAGCTTGTCGACACTCTGTCCTCACCGCTCCAGAGAGAGGCAGCGGCGAAGCAGGATACTGAACGACCTTGTTCCCCCTATCTCCCTGCGCCCCCACACATACACACACACGCGAAAGACACGCATTTCTAAACGTCTGCTGAACCACACACACACTACTACAGTACATCGAGTCTAGGATCCGTTTTGCAGGTGTGTGTGTGTGTGCACTCTACGATGTAGCTGTAGCTGTAGCTGTTTGCAAGGGACTGGAAAGTACTGTAGCTGACTGCTGACTGCTGGCTGTCTTTTTTGGTGGTGGAGATGGACTGCACTGCACTGCACTGCACGGTGTAGGGGGGGGTCCTTTCCTTTTCGCAATCGCACGAGTGGGTAAGCCGGTTGGTTGAAGGGACTTGCTGTGCTGTGCTCTGCTCTGCTCTGGATTCAGGGGCTGTACAATCGAGTCGAGCCGTCTGCTGCGCAACTGCGCGGTTCAGTACAACGGTCCTTGTCCTTGACAACAAGAGCCAAGAGCCAAGAAAGGAGAGTCAGTCATGATGCAATTGATTTTCGACTAGGATCAGGACGTGCACTACTGTACTGTGGTCGGATTGTCGCTATGGATACAGAGTACAGGTACAGATACAGTACAGTACATTACGGTAGAAGATCAGGACAGGACAGGACAGGACTTCACGCTTTGTGATATTTGGCAGCCCCCCCCTCGCAGGTGAAGTCAAGGGTAGCAACACCGACATGATCTAGTTTTCACCAGCTGGCGCGAGGGAGGGAAGAAGAGGGCTCAGATTTCTCCAAGACGAGAGTCATCATCGTTGCCGAGCCTTCCACACTCCAGGATGTAGGGAACAAGTGTGCTACATCGTCTCGTTGCGACTTCCACCGACTACCCCCACCATCTGATTCCCTAGCCGCCCTCTTGGAAAGAAGAATGGAGGCCACTGCTTCGCACCACCTCATCAGTTGTGCCGGTACGGGTAGCGTAGCCTGAACGCCTTGCTCGGGACGTGCAGCTTGAGGACGTCCTGTACAGAGGTCGGCGAATGGCCCACCGAGCGCTGCGACCTTGCCTCTGTGCCGGCTCCTCGCCGCGATGCATGAAGGGCAGTCGTTGTAAGTCGCCCTCTTGATGAAGATGGAGAACAGTATGGACAAGCGGGGATGGTGGAGCTCAGGGTTCAGTGCCGAGCTCTGTGGATCAGACCTTGAGAGGGAAACTGCAGTGCTTGGCCCATTGCTCGTGGCGGCTCTGATGCCTTTGTCTTGTCTTGCTTGTATAGAGTATTGAAAGGATCACCTGCCTAGAGACCGGGAAGATGGCGCGGTAACCGGCCCGTCATTGATGGTCCACCTCTATGTTGCAACAGACACACCTGCGTATTGCTGACTCTACGACGATCGAGTGAGGTAAGTCTCCGACAGAAGGCTGAAGGATGACTTGTGAGACTTTACTCGTTTGGAGTAGCGATCCAGCAGTCAAGACCTTCTCGTCACTGGCACTGTTGCGCAGCCCGACCTTGTGCGGTGCCTCGGTCTTCCAGGATGGGATTGACATGGCGAGGACCCTGAGGCCCTGCACGTGGTAGCTGACACCGTTTGTGGCCACCAACTGGACAGGGCCGCTCTTGAGCTTGGGCGTCCGTTGCGATCTACTCTATGGAGAGTTCAGAATCGTAGATCTTGACGTAATCACTCGAGCGTAGGAAGTATGACCGCATTTGGAGTCGGGGCACACCTCCACAGGTTTGTAGGACGTGATTTTCACAAGGTCACAAGATTCCTTCGGTCCAGACTCGCATCGAGAATGGCACCCTACAGACTCGTAGTCAGTGAGCTTGACCGGTAGGATTCAGATCGATTGCACAACGACAAAAGCAGAAGCAGATATGCCTTTTTCCTTGTCAACATTGGCTTGGGTGAGGGCTGCTCCCTGCACAGGACCAGAATCAAAGGCGAGATGGGATACACCCAGTGCAATTGATGATGATCCACCTAAAAATCGGCTTCCTGTAGACGTGAGATCATGCGATATGACCTTGGATGACGGTACTACTGATGTACAGTAGCTTGATATCCTCCGCAGACGGTACCGTCCCAGATGTCTGATGTTGCCTGTCACAGCACACCCGTTGCTGCAGCGCCGAGGCCGCGCAAGAGCGAGGGACATCAGTGCGCTCGTCTTGGAGTTGCTGATGTCCATGACGAGAGAGTACAGCCGCCGGCTGGTATGGCTCTCGTCTTCTTCTCTGTGTCTCGTTGCGAGATTGTCGGGCTACCATGGACGCGATGCATCCCTTCAAGTTCAGCTGGTCGGATGTCGCAATGGACGGGAGCTGTGTCCGGCCTTGAGTGCCGTTCTACAGAACAACCTTGTCACTGTCCTCGAAGCTATGCAACAGAGAGTGCCTTCGGGAGCTCCATTGACCAGTAAGGGGACTGTTTGGCTACATGAGCGAGCCCCACTCTAGGTACAGTACAGTAGGGCATGAGGAAAGGCGGGCTGTGCTCTCTCTACGCAGATGCGATGTCGCTCCTAGTGCAAGAAATGTCCTGAATGAGAGATGGTGTCAAGGGTTGGCGATGACTAGCTGAGGATTTCGTACAGTGCTGATCGCTCATTGTCCCTCAGCTGAGCTGAGTCGATGCTCCGCACAGAGATCAATCGTGATGGAGGAGCCTGGCCCTCGACGACAAGCCGAGGTTACGGTAGCAGATTACTGACAGCGCGGTGACTGTGAAGGCTAAGCAGCAGGAGCGTGAGTAGACTGATGGGGGAGTCGCAGCCACACAGCAGACTCCAGGCAACGTCCATCGAGGCGTGCCGCTGACCGTTGTGCTTGCTCCTCGTAGCCCTGGACTAGCTGAGACCGGCAGATGTAGCATAGATTTGTGAGGCATGGCTGCTCCTTTTGGTGCATCCCAATAAAAAGTGCGAGAGGTTAGTGATGAGTAGATTTGAGCTTGCATGCCTGGCGCTCATTTCCCCTGAAGACCTAAGTCTGCATCAGAAATCGTCAAGGCTTAGACGAAGTGAGTACAGTGGGTCGTGCAACTCCTGCTGTTGCTCTTTGCTCAACCAGATAGACGGTCTGCCTGCAGGTGCCTCGGCTGGCGCCATGAGTATCGTCCAAGAGCCGAAGCCATTGGACAGCGATCGATCGCGGCTTCCGAGACCGGAAGTTCGGGCCTCCAATGAGGGCGTTTGGAGGAAGGCTGCTTCTCGAAAGTCCGAGGGGCGTTCACCCCGGCAGGTGAGAGAGGATGCGAGGAATAGGGCTCAGCGAAGCAGCACAGTCCAGCCATCGTTTCGAGCTATCAACGGCAGTGAATTTGCGGGCCGTGGCCCCGCTACTGCTGGATTTGGAGCCAGCATGCATGCTACGGGTAGAGAGTTGTCAGGTCCGAGTCTGAAGGATCGTCTCGGTCTGACTGAACAGTCTGGGAAGGAGGAAGGGGGGCGTGTTGTCGATAAGGGTTGGCGGTAGGTAGCCACCTCCTCAGAGTCAGGCACCAAGCAGCTGTCAGCTGTCACAGCTGATACTTGGCGTGGGGAATGCCGCTTCCATGGATTCATAGATCACTCTCTTTTCCGATTGACCTCTGGCCACATATGGCGGCTTGTGGTATAAGTGCTTAGCAATACGGGTTCCTTGGATACGGCAGCGTGCCAGCGTCTCTCTGCGTTGCCACTCGTGCGCTTCAAGCCTTCGGCGAATCTGAGCTAGGCGACTAGGTCTGATAGGGTCGGCGAGCTTGTAGGAGCCCTCGTGCGGAAGGTTGGGTCGTGGCGCTGCACACCTTCGACAATTCCGGCGTCAGACTGCTCTCCCTACTGCCAATGGGAGCAAGACCCTGCATCGAGACCCAAGAGGGTGCCAATTAGACAAGCTTCGGTTGATTCCCTGGTGGTAGATAGGTGAGCCTTCTCGCTGACAGTCTGTTCCGGCTGATCCTCCCTGCCGATATTGTGAAGGCGCTGTGCAACGAGACGCTCTGGCTGCAGCCTTGCAAGCCCGTCGTGGAAAAGATGCTCCATAAGCAATGGTGTCTTTCCTCGGCTACGAATGCACGAGAGCAGACGGTGTACCGACGTGGATCCTCCATCCCGGGTCTGCAGTGCCCATTGGATCTGCTCGCTCTAAAGGAGGTCCTGTTCGCACTTTGTTGCCCCTGTGCCCCTACATAGGCGCCCTATTGACCTTGCCATGATGCAATCGTCTGCCAGAGCTGATCGATGACAGAGATATACCCGAGATCTGTGGCCTGTCGGCTCCTCTGCCACCCAGCCCTCTTCTCCCAGCTCCTTGGGCCAGCCATGGGCAGATGTCTTGCCGGTAGAAGCGCTGCTTAGTGCGCAGATTCTGACAACCCAACGTCGCTGTCGTACTTCTCGAAAGAGGGCAGGGCGTAGCGTATCTTTAGGGCCCCGAGTCCGCTCCGTAGCGTGTTCGCCGAGGTTGCATGAGAAAGGTCTAGGTCTGATGCCAGTCGCGCGCTCGCAGCCCTGTTCCTGATCCTCGCTATGAGATGAGGGCGGAGCAAAGGAGCGACGAGATCACCCGTACTAGTTTTCAACTTGGAGTTCTATGCGATCTCGGTGTGTCATGAGATTGCTCGTCGAGCCTTAAAATACGACGTAGCAGTGATAAGACTACCGTTGCCCAAGGGCTTTCGCGCCACTTTGCATGTGGCAGTGCATGCGAGGTGTGGTGTATATGGCTCTGATCTGGGATCTTGCAAGGTGGCGATTGGAACCTCTGTTGTGCTTGACACTGGTGGAGCTGCCGAAAGCCTCCCCCTCTCACTGACGCAGCTTTAATCTCCGAGCAGTGCGTCAAGGACCGTGGGAAGAGTGGCGCAGAACCTGGCAAACGTCCCTGTGTCTTGCCAGAAGATAACTCTGTGGCAGTGGCAACGTAGAGACTGTCGCTGCTTCAGAGACAGTAGCGCTCTTGTCTGGTACCAGAGAGGAGAGGGTGGTGCAGAGCCGCACCCCTGTCTGGTTCCTGCTGGAGGAGGAGCGGAATCAGCCACGTGTGCTGCGCCTCCACGTCCGCTGCAGACTTCCTTGCGCGCCTCCCGCCTGCTCGCACATCAGCAGCACCAGGGCTCAAGGAGGGAGGCGACCCCCGCCTATCAGTGCGTCTCGCCTACGCAGCGGCCTCGCCCGCCTTGCAGTGAGCTTACAGACGCACACTTGGCATGGGTCCAGAGCACTGCGGCTGCAAAAGAAGGTCTGCATAGCGAGGGTGGGGAAACAGCGGCGACTCGTGCCGGTAGGATCCTTGGTAGGGCTAGGAGGATCGAGGTAAGTATGTGCGGATGATACATGACCTTCGCACAGCGATCGGCGCTGCCACGGCCCCTTGCCCCACTCAGACATCGCAGATCTTCACAATTCTACACGGCCGCATTGTGCTGCACCTCTTCGTCTCCGACTGCACAATGAATGCTTCAGGACCAGCTGCTAGAGCTCGGGTCAAAGAGTGGAAACAATGGGGGCGGCGGTGACAGGAATGCCTCTGCACAAGGCTGGGCCGGACCGGTCACGCAGCTCATTTGAGCCTGAAGTCAGGAGCGGTACTAGAGGCCTGAGCGAATGAAGTAGCCAGAGATGGATGACGAAGGTACAAATGCGCTCTCAGGTCCTCCTGCCTTCCTGCCCGTTCGGGCAGCTGCACTGCGATGACGGTGAGCCTTACGTGCATGAACAGACCACTGCGAGTTTGAATGAGATCGTCTGATAAGAGACTGACAGCTGGAGAGTCATTTTGCCAGCTCGGAGCATTGATGGTCCGGAGTGCTCGATGTAAGAGACATTCGCTCAGCAGCTTGCTTCCTCATTCCCGGAGTACCTTGTGAGGGAGATGCTTAGATTCGGCTCTTCATTGACGGTGTACCGTGGTCTGAGCTACACCAATTCGTACTCACAGTCGCCTACACCCTCGCTCGCGCCATCCTCAGCTTGGTCCATGCTGAGACGTTCATCTTCCTTTGAGAAGGTCAAGCTTTCGAAACACTGCTTGATCTCAAGAGGGATCTTGCCATTCTTCGCAGCCTCCGCCTTCGCCACCGCCATCTTATAAAGTCCTGTTGGAGCCTTGGCGAGGAGAATGCCCTGAATAGCCACCTGATCAGCCTAGACTTACAATAGCGTTTCGTGCGTCTCCGTCTCCAGCTGTTCCTTGCTTCTGAATGCACGATAATCTCCTCTTCCTTTACAGAGCTTTACTTTCGCGGCTCGTGATCCTTTTCTGCAAGCGCAAGTGGGAAAACTCCTTGTCGAGGTCGAAGGTGTGGCATAGACAGGGACCATGCTCGGCGCGAGGTCCGACCTGTACCTTTGGTCTCAGACCCGAGAGAGTAGTGTGGTTTGCCAGGGGCAGACCGGGAACTGTTTGGGCGATGGTGGTGAGCCGCCGAATGAGGGGCGTTGTGAAGGGTGGGAACGATGCTGAAGCAGCCTCAACTCAATTGTTGCGGTTGGGAAATGATCAGTAGGATGGAAGCATGGAGGGAAAGAGTAACAGAAGCACTGGCGGGGGGACTGAGACAGCCACTCAGTCACTTACAGGGCATGGCTCAGCGATTTGCCGAAGCAGGGTCACCGTCGGATGTCTTGCCACACCGCGGCAGCAGCTTCATCTTCATCAACATCATGTCTATGCCGCCAGCGCCCCATGGCAAGAGAGTACCCGTGAAGAGGAGAAGACTGACATCACCCGGTGTTCACCCACCCAGTACTGTACCATGAACGCAGTACAGGGGTGTGACACTCACCAGCAGCTCACCTTCACCACCATCATACAGGGAATGGGTCAGCTGATGTGCTGTGCAGATAGGTCACGAGATGTACTGTAGCACTGCCAGTGGTACCCCTATCACTACAGTATTGCACCGCATCCGCCTTGACATAATGGATGCTGCCCACTCTCGGCCCGCCTGACCATTGCGTACAGTAGCTCGGAATATCGGCTCCATCCTCTTGGGTCGTAACAGTGTGCGAGTCCACACCGTCTCCAGAACCGACGCAAGTCACACTTTCTTCTCCGCTCACTCTCACTCTCACTCTCAACTCTCACACATAGACTTCAGACAGACAGACAGACAGACAGACAGACGTCTTGCACACCGATGCTTTCGGTGTTCATCAATAATTGAGGCGGGAGGCGGGGCGACAAGGCCCTCTGTGTCCGTGACCTCCAGTACGCCCTCCCTTTGACATATAGGTACTCCACGTTCGATGCTGGTGCTGCTGGCTCTTCCATCCGAGGCAAGGTCAGCAGTTGGACCCGTACAAGGTCGGACAGTGGTCCTGCTCTCAACGGTCGCAGCCAATGGATTGGCCGTGGGATGGTATGCAAGTATCGTCTTTGGAAGGCACACAGTCGAAAAGTGAGGTGAATGGGAGACGAGTTGCGAAGGGCGAATGCGGGAGTGGAGATGCTGAGACTTGGATGATGGTCGATTCGTCAGTTGTTGCAGAAGAGTAAGCTGGAGTGAATAGCACATCGTCGGGATCAAGCAGTGCCAGAGACGTTGTGTCGAATCATGATGGTGCAGTGTTTGCAAAAGAGAAGTATGACTGGTTTACACAAATGGAATGAACCGTACCCTAAACTCCTCTTGATGTCGAGGGTACAACGCCTCTACCCTTCCTCCTTCGTAGCCCAGCTCCGCCGACGGCACGGTGAAGCCCAGTTCCTGTGTCTCTTGTTCTTGAGGATCCTCAAGTGGGTGAACGTTGGACCTTGATGGGTTGATGGCGTCAAGGAAGTCCTGCAATGAGGTCGTGGAACGAGGAGGTGACTGTCAGCCTATGATATGACGGCATGGAACATACTTGACGACTTACCGAAGAGGTTGGGGACTGACCCTCGTGAGAGCTTGTTGATGGAGTGACATCGTAGTCGAGAGGCATGATAGTCATGTGTTCCTTGATAGATAGGACTAGGGCTGGGAAGAAAGAGGTGATGTCAGCGATGCTCGTGCTGAACCACTTTGCCAGCAATGTACTACACCTACGCTTGATCCATTGACTTGCCCACTCGATCAAAGCCTTGAAGACTAGTAGCAGCTTAGGGTAGCAAGTCTTCCAACGCCCGCCATGCTGTGTTGGGCAGGACCCAGACTCAAGTCGTACCGATGACTAGGATGACCTACAGAAGCACCCAAGACTCAAGTCAACCGAGAAAAGAATGGCCTAGTAGTACACCCCAGCCTCAAGTCGTACCGAGGAAAAGGATGACGTAGCACCCAAGACTCAAGTCGAAGAGAGGGGTAGAATGACCTAGTACCACTCCAGACTCAAAGTCGTACCGAGGAAAAGGATGACTTACAGTAGTACCCCAGACTCAAGTCGACCGAGACTAGGAAGTGACCCAGCACAGGAATGACATGAGGCCATCAGCCCGCTTACCCGTAGAAGTGCGTCGTCATAGTCTTTGTCTCTCTCCGGAGAGCTTGAAGGCGAGGTGGTGATCATGTGATCATGGTGGGAGTAGTGGTGGTAGCCGGGAAGAAGTGGTGGTAAAGAGAGGGTGTGGTGGTGGTTGGGGGGGGAGGGGAGAAAGGTGGGCGTGGAGCGGGCTTGATTATATAGGGCACACCTGCTTGCCCCTGGAAGAGGAGCGAGGGGCACGAGGACAGAGGCACCTCGCTTTTGCTCTCTCCTGGATCACCCCCTCTTGCCCAGCCAGGCCGACTCACCCCTGGGCCTGCCGCCTGCTGTGCATCGAGGCTGCCTTTGCCAAACTCATCCATTGCCGCCGCCGCCCACTTTGCCCCCTGGTCGCGACCCATTTGCTCCCCGCCCGCCCAAATCAACTCCCGTCGATTGCTTCTCGGCTTTCTGCCATCGCAGCCCCTCGCGCTCTTTCCCTTGTGTTTGCCTCTCTGGTCTGAGCTGCCGGCACCAAGTCCATCGGCGTCGTCGTCGTCGTCGTGTGTGTGTGTGTGTGTGTGTATGTGCGTGTGTAACTGTATGCTCCATTGGCCCTCTTTCCTCGCGTATCGGCCACATTCAGCTTCTGTTGCTCCTCGGCGTCAGACGCAAGGCGGCGACGATTGCCTTTGCCCCCAGCCGTCCTCCGAGGGAGGCGGTGCCTGACCGGGAAACGTGCGAGAGCAAAACCGGGCGGGTGCGGCGGCAGAGGGCCCGCTTTGATGCCAAGTCCTCCAGTGCAGGCACACCTCTACCCGCCCGCTCCGGAGCAAGAGGCGCACACACACAGCCTCTGGCATCGTCGTGTGCGTGTGGGTGTGTGTGTGTAGGCAATCCTCGGCTGACTCCCTCCTTGGGCTTTGCACGCAGTCCTCCACCTTGCTCCCTCGCCTGGGTGTGTGCCCTCCTTGCCTCGCCCTCCCGCCCGTTTGCTTCCGCAGCGTAGTCAAGCTCTGCACTCGCAGCGATCCTCGACGGACGAGGAACTGCTGTACTTCTGCGCCACAAGCCAGCCCTGGGATCCCGCTTGGTCACTCCATGTACAGGACAGTCGGCATGCAGCAGCAGCAGCAGCAGCAGCAGCCTCACCATGACTACCACGATGACCACAGCCAAGAGACGACAATGGGTCCTCCGTCCTACCTATGCTCCCATCCGCCTCCTCAAGCACTGGCCATTGCACACGCCAAGAGGCCGAGGGATGCACTCGACACTCCTGACCATACACCAAGCGGCTGCACAGAGGCCAGCACAGATCCACACGGCGGCAAGCGCACACGGCCTTCCGACACTCAGTCGTCGTCTAACCCGTCTTCTACTCGCCGCTCAGCCTCACAAGTCCAACATCTTGGCCCATCCCTTCGAAGTACCGCCAGGCCCAATGCACTCCTGGCGCCCACCCAGCCGCCTCCCGCCCGTGTGCGCGTACGCTGGCAGGACCTCCCCTCCCCACCGCCTTCTCCTCCTCCACCACCGGCGGATCAATGTAGGTTAGGAGAATCGCCATCACCAGCGAGTGAGAGAGGAGCAGGAGGAGGAGTCGAAGCAGCATCGACAAGACTCAACAAGGTCGTCTTGCCGATGTACTTTCTCACAAAAGAGGATGCAGAATTCTTTGCCAGGGTGTACATTGGCGCCGAAGACGAGACGCTGGCGCGAAGCAGATCTCAGGGAGACAAAGGAGGAGCAGCGCGGGTAGAGTCCATCACTACCGACCACCAAGGACCGTCAAGAAGTGCAGCAGCTGGGACTTGCACTGTTCCCAAGCCACAAAAGAAGAGGGACCCTGATAAGCCTTGGTTGGTCCGCGCCGGGGAGAACAGTACCCATGGGACTCTCACGGTGAGTAAGTGCCCCTTTGGCAATTGGGTGGCCGAGGGCAAGGTTGTGCTTAGACTACTGCGATAGCTTTGCGGAGCTGACTCTCCCTCCCCCCCAATTCAACTGCACTCCTACTCTCATTGCACGGTTCGACATCGTACTCTCAAACTACCTCAAGCTGAAATGCACCACCCACGAGCGCAACAACTGTCCATGGAGCCTCCTCATCTCTCGCCAGAAGTGGAATGATACCGCACCCTTTCTCTTCCCGACCGTGCGCCCAACACCCACATACTACTACAAGCTGTCAAACACCAAACCCAATCATTCGCCATCGTGCGTGCGCGGACCCCTCTATCCCGTCATCCTGAATGCCTACCGGAGTAAGCCCAAGAAACCTGCACGATCGTCCAAAGATCTCAAAAACTCCTTTCAGGCTTTTGTAAAGGAATGGATAGAGGAGAGGGAGAGGCAGTCAGGGGGTGGGGCAGCCCATCGAGATCGGTGTGATATTGATAAGCACGAAACTACCAAATTCGCTTCCAATAGCGGTGATGTGCAGCAGACAGCAGAGGAGCGGGAAGAAGATGAAGAAGACGAGCTACTGCCGGATCGTAGCCCTAGCTATCCTCATGACAGCATCGAGGAGCAAAGGGGGGACAAAGACGCAAGATACGCCGACCTGGACGGCGACTTCGACCAGTGCGATTATGAAGACGACCTCTTACCGCCAGCTGGAAGTGAGGAGCCCGCTACCCAACAAGGGCAAGACTGCTTGCTGGAAGAACATGTGGGTGAAGAGGCTGGCGCCGGCATACAAGACGGCGGAAGCATGAATGAGGAAGCGACAGTACACTCTTCTGCGCTCTGCAGAATGTCAAACATTGGCGCAATGGACATCGATCGGAGCCTCGGAACGCACATGGACGCCTCAACAGCCATTCTCCCAGCTCCCACGCTCCAGATGGGCAGGCTCGCCGCCGAGAGAGAGGCAGACATAGGGGAAGACGCAGCTGCAGCTGCGCACTCTCAGGCTCAGGAGCAAGCACCGATAGTCGAACCGCCCGGCACTTGCAGAGCGCGTCAAGTCACAAGCACCTCGGGCGTCTCAGCCTCAGCAGTCGCAGGAATCACTGCACATGTCGCCAAGTCAACATCAGCACTAGGACTGGCAATGGCAAGTTCACCGGAAATGACATTGACCAGTACATCCTCTGTCGACCGACCTACTTCGCAAGTCGTGAAAGCATTGACCGACTCAATATCGACGGATTTCTCAGCATCAGCAGCAACAGCAGCGACACAAATGTCAACAGCAGTGGCAACGTCTTCAGCTACGTTGTCATTGCCCTCGGCTCTCTCGGCTTCGGCTTCAAATCCAGCTCGAGCCCACTCCTCAAAGCCATCAACATCCTCCACACTCCGCCACCCAGCTCCTCCGCGAGCCCACACGCAGGTCCACCTTGAACCTCAAACGCTTGTCGTCTGGCCCCACAACGAGCCCGTTAGAGCACTCGGTGCGCTACTCGAGGGACGATATCCCGGAGTGGGCGAGTGGATGCAGACGGTGATCAGCAACGACATGAGCGTGGGGAGACAAGAGAGTGACAGTGTTCAAGCTCCTGTTTTGAACCTCCTCGGACTGGTGTTCGTCGTCAATGCAGTCATGACTCGCTCGCCCTGGGCTCTATCTGCAAAATCGCGAGCGACATCACATCCAGTGACTGATAAGGGTAATTTCCTTCCGGCCCTGCCGGGCATCATCATCTATGTGCATGTACCTGCGACAAGTCTCGCGCCCACCGATGCCGATTGCGCAGAGGCTACCGAGAGCGAGCTCAGCGGCTCGGATAGGGAGAGTCGGGTTGACGTCGTCACGAGTCCAAGGGCAGGCGCAAGTGCAGGTGCAAACCAAAGAAGGAGAATTCTCCTGGCCTGGCCTGGGCCTTGCGACACCCAGAGCAGCTGTGCAGCCGACCTCTTTGAGAAGAACAAGCGCAGCAAGAAGCACAAGGGCGGTCCATGCCGGAGGTCTAAGAAGCGAGGGACTGATAAGAAGGCTGGCGATCGCGCGGATGTGGCAGAGAGTAGTACCAGGGCGGACGAACACACGGCCGGTTGGACCACTTGCGCTCCTGGCACCAGCGCGAGCTCCGACGGCCACACCACCACGATGACGAGTTGCTCGGCAAGCGCTACTGCAAAACCAGTGCGCCTCCTCTGCTTCCGCAGTGAGCTCAAGCTTAATTGGCATACGCCAGAGCGATTCAAGTCTATATATAATCTGCTGCTGCCCGTTGATCAGGCGGCACAGCTGATGCAGCAGGCCGCTACGGCCACTGCTGTGTCAACGGCAGAGGAGATCGCCTCCGTTTCCTATGCCGGTCTGGCTACGAAAGTACCGAATACAAGCGAGACTCGCATGGTGAAATCACGAACCTCGATCTCTCCTCAGGGAAGTGTACAGCTGCACACACTCGTATCATGCCCGCCGCATGAGCTACGAATGCAATTGGGTCTCGCCCAGCACTCTGCTAGGGCGCCAGCAAAGCAAAAGAGACGTCTGGGGCCGAGTCTCTCCTCTCCCTTGGTTTTCCCTCTCGCTGGCGAGCTCGAGCCCAACTCACCTATGCACGGGCTTTCGAGAGACCAAGCCCAACGCCAAACCTCAGCCCACGCCAGAGCCGATACTGGGATCGTGCCGGACTCAGAGGCAGAGTCAGAGTCAGAGTCAGAGTCAGAATCAGATTCGGGTGGCACCTTGTCAGAGCTCTGGAAGCCTAGCGCAGACGACGTTCTGCTTCTGCTCAATCACGACTCTCGCTTGGCGGCAAAGTGGAGGTTGGAGCGGGAGTGAGAGTGAGAGTAGGGGGAATGGATTGAGACAAAGGGCGGGAAAAGGGCAATGGAGACGCTACGAGGCGAAGCTACTTTGCGTGTGGTCAGGACTGTAGAGGCTACTGGGGTACGTAGAGTGGTTCGTAGGGACCCTGGCGCAGAGAGGGACAGGCTGGACACAAGCCGACTTCGCTGCAGGTAGAGAGAAGGACAGAACGTTGATGAGAATGCCGATGACTTCGGCAAGCCACATGACTACCCACTGTGGTGCTTGGTGCTCTGCTCCTGGCTTGGCAGGCTCACCGCCACCAGCGCATTGTGTACTTCTCCTTCTTTCCCCCCATCCCTATCCTGTCTTCTAGTGAGATAGCCACGGCCTTTCCGGCCGCCGAATCAACAACATACTATACAGTGCATCACGAACACGGGGTCTTCCTCGACGGAGCGCTCTGGAACCAATATATCGACCTGAGGCGTACATTGCCTTGTCTGCAGCTCGAATGCAGCTCACCAGGATACCCTGCCAGACGAGAAAGACTCGATTGTGGGATCAGCTGCCATCGGCGAGGTCAAGAGTACTTGTCAATATGAAGACGACGGCGAATCTAATTGCGAGCAATGAGTGGAGTCTCTGGTAGAGAATGAGCAACCCGTACATTACAGTATGCTACAGTATAGTACAGTACAGTCCGTCCATCGCTTCTTGGGCCAAGGGGCAGGATAAGTACAGTACCTGCCTCTACTTACTGTATGCACTCCTGTTTCCATCAAAAGGGGGTCATTCGGACATCGAGATGCGAGCAGCAGCGCAGGAGCACCCGTCTATCGAGGTACGCGAGGGATGCAGAGGTACAAGAAATTCCAGTGTGTGCGAATCGTGACTTACCCCCCCGCCTGTCTGCCTGCCTGCCTGCTTCGACTGACTGACTTATTGGTCAGTTGGTCAAGTGGTCAATCTTCCTCTGAGCGGAGTAGAGCAGAGCATGACCGTCTGTACCCTGTCCAGCAGGAACGTATGCATCGAGAAGGACTCGTCTGCTGGTGCTCGCAACTGTCCGCGGGCGTTGGTGGCGCTTGTGCGTCCGCGCCTGGTCCCCTGCCTGTCTCGACTCCTCCACCATGCGCTCAGGTACTGTACCTGGTCCTCTTTGACGCATTTGCTGTCACAGCGGGTTCGTTCGGTTCCTGAAGTTCCATCGCCATCGCACCCTCGGCCCTGGTGCAAAGGCAGAGGGAATAGGATACATCGACCAGGCAGATGCACCGTTCGTGTAGTCAGGACACGACATCAAGTCACACGATCGTGTCCACCAAGGATATTATCACAACTCCCTAACCCCACTCCTCTCCATTGGTTCTTGGCTAGCCAGACCGGCGTTCTACTGACCAACGAGGCCAGTCACCCACAAGATAGTGGGTTCAGAGCCCTGGATCGTACACCCGCACCCTTGATCACGCAATAAGGGGTGCGCCGGGGCGTCCATTTGGCCCTGTTCACCAATAATGCCCTGGCAAGGGGGCGACGCGCATATAGTCATGGCCGCCACGTCCCTTGTTGATGACAATTCTACTACTCGCCACAAGTCGCTTCCCACAAGGCAGAAAAAGGGTGGGTGCTCCTGTACTACAAGAGACCACGTCAGATTGTACGACGACTCCACTCGCAACCATCAAAACTATCATTCCCTTGGCCCAATCCTCCCACTGTATTTCACCTCTCCCCGTCTACAACCTACGAACCATCTCATACACAACGATGGAAGTCAATGGCGAACCGGTCTGGGTTGATCTTGGTCAGACCAAGATGCCACATCTTCGCAGTTATCTACGAGCTCGACCCAACTTCGATCCTACCGTTGCACGTGACCAACAAGAGAGCTTAGGCCACACTTGGGCCAAGGAGTTTTGGGACCGCGAAGTGCGTGATGAATGGCAAGGCCGCTCCTGTCCTTCAGGTGGCAGGGAGAAGAAGCGATAGAAAACTTTCCACCGGCTGACACTATAGCCTCTGCCTTTCGTCGCTTACAGCACAGCGGAACGACGCCTCCGGCGGAATGGTACGAGAGCTGGACCACTCTCAAAAGCAAGTCAGGCAGCGGCTCATTACAGTCTCAAGGGACGGTGATTGCCTCTTGGAACAAATTGAAGGAGGCGTATGAAGATCCCGACAGATCCTTCTGTTCCGATGACAACAGTCTTGAGGAAGACAAGGACTCTGAGATGGAAGAGGGCGGATCTAAGAATGTGATCAAGTTTGTACCCTCGGCTTCTGCACTCGGTGGTGACGAGGATTGGCGAGGAAGGCTTTCTAGAAAGGAAGTCAAGACCTTTGAGGCAATGCTGGTGAGTCGGAAAGCGATTTTAGCTCACAGTGCTAGAGAGACTTGCTAATCAACCTGGTCTCGTCACTGCCGTGTCAACAGGAGGTAGCTGTTTTGCAAGACCAGCTCTGCTTCCGTTTGATCCGCGAATGCGTCGAAAAGGTCATTACGCCTGACGAAAGACCACGCGCTGCCATCCCCACGGGCAATCCCTCCGCTGATCACCTGAGATATGTCTTTGACTCCATTAACAAGCTCTTCGACCGTCTACGCAAGAGTATGAGACTACCAGACAATTCTCGAGTCCCCCACCTGCGACCACTGGACCACTATCTGGAATGGGAAGTCAGGCAGGCGCACATGGAGTCTCGCGTAGCTGAAGGGATGTCAGAACTGCTAGACAGGATAGACGTCGTCTTGCTTGCCTTGGGCGTGCCAGCTCCACGCGGTGAGACCGTCGTCTCGGACAGGCTGATCCATCAGTACCTGTACAGGTTGAGCGACTGTCAGGAGAGGGTGATGACGCATCGTAAGAACGCTGATCGGGCGCGTCAAGTGCAGGGTCCCAGACGCGCAGGAACATCGAGCGAGCTCGGTCAGCGACGAGGCTCCCGGTATGTCTCCAGGCCGCTTAGTCTTGCGACCGGTGTTCGCGATGGTACGAATTCAAGGGCCTCATCTGCCTCGGCGGGCTCTCCTGTTGCAGCATCCCCGGTCTGATCTCTGGTCTTATCCAGCATTCACTAAGGCAATTGTTGTAAGCCTTTGTATGTTTCCTTGTCTCCGCTCTTGTCCGACTTCCTTATCTCAATCGTCACTCGTCCCGCCTTTGCATTTGTACGCCTTGTCTGAGCGACTGGTGGGACTGTGCTGTGAGACTTGGCCTGGAACGCTAGGAGAACAATGTTCAACATTGAGGGCGAAGAAACCCGTGCTCATTGGTAAGACAAAGTGATTACATTTGGATGAGAGAGAGAGAAGAAGATACAGAGAAGTAGCTTTACATTGGAAGTCCTGTACCGACCCCCTTGAGATATCAGAAGGGTCGCGTCAGATTAGGTCCGAGACGCTGATCAGAATGTCTGGGTAGTCGCCACCTTGATGATCTGGCCACATCCCTCGCGAAGCAGCTCCATCATAAAGATCCTCGAGTACACGTCCCTCTCCGAGTATACCTCACGCGTCGTGACAGGCAACCAAGGCAGCTCGAAGTGATGGTTCATCCCTCTACGTGAGCTCCCAGAAGCAGCAGAGGTGTCCAGTACCGTACTCGTATAGAAGTCCCTCAGCTTCTCGCCCACGTTACGGAAAAGCCTGTCCCACTCGTCGTCTAGCTTCAACCACTCGCTGCTCTCGACTAATTGTTGATGTACCTTGCTCTCAAGCAACGGATCCATTGGTCGCACAAAGGCGCTGGGGAACGCACCGGTGAGGTCCGGACCGAAGCAGCGTGCGAGGAGGACCAGGGCTATCTCCGTCGCTTTGGCCCGAATAGAACTTCTTCCTAATCGCTTCCCTGAAGAGGACGTCGTGTCGCTGAACCTGCTCAGCGGAGTGAGTTGCCCACCAGTGGTATCCATGTGCTTGTAGTAGGCTCTTGTCACCCTTTGCCCATTTTCGTGCCAGCGGTAGAACAAGGCATCGAGTTCCTTCTGCATCATTCTGACCCACGCTAGATTGATCGCCTCACCAGGCGGCTCCAGGCGGTTGATGACATTGTCTAGGCAAATGTTCATTGCCTTGACATTGAGAGTGTCGAGCTGCATGGCCACCTGCTGCGTGTGTGAATGGATAGAAGTATCACCCGGGCCCGTCAGTACGCCGCTCTACGACTTGGATTGGTGCAGAGCCCAGAGCGCTCCCGTCTGCCATACTCACCACATTCACTTCAAGCTCCAACTTCTGCTCTGCCGAGGGAACAGCTGACAGTGACCCTGGAGTGCGCCTAAAGGCGTCCTCTGAGAATTGCGCAAACCCTATGAAGCCAATACGATGCGATTGGCCCTCCTGTTCGATAATCCGAGACGATGTGTTGCATTCCTCGCTCTCCTCTGCCGCCTCCGTCTCCTCTGCTTCTCGCCCTCTTCCTCTTTCTCCCGTGAGATTTTCGGCTTCGGCAAGTCTCTCCTTCATCTCGCGATAGAAGGAGTACTGCAGCGTGGAGACCCTGGCAGAGATCGTGTCATTGTCCTCACTTTCTGGCATAAAGCCAGCATGAAAGCTTCCAAAGGGCGCGTTGAGCTCCTCTTCTGTCGGCAGAGGTGGGATCCAGGTCGTTGGAGCTGCCACCTGTACTGGCGTGGATGGGGACAGACTTTGGGCTGACTGCCAGGCGACGCTCCAGTCGAGGTGTTGAAAGTCGGCGCGCTTCCGGATGGCGATGGAGATGGAGCGGTGGAGATCGGGGTGAGTACAGTATAGATGCTTGGGTGACATACAGTACGTCTTTGTCAGTCTCGATCAATCATCAAAGGCAACTCACATCTTTCTTGCGTAGCGCCTCCTTCGCAGTCCTTACGGACCCTAGCCAGCGCTGCCTGGCAGTACCGTCGAAGGCGCGCAGGTAGCCCTTGGAATAGACGCGTTCTTGATGTTTGAAAAAAGGCGGCTCGGCGCGGCGCTCCATTGCTTCTGGATTGGTCGAGTCGACTTGGTATCTGCTCTTGCCAAGAACCAGCTGTACTTCTGACTTTGTCTAAGTGGAGAGGACGACGGCGATACGATAAGGTGCGAAAAGTCTATCCTTTGGGCCGCGGCGCTTACTCCCTGAGGCCCTGCTCCATCTTCTACCCCGCCTGCACTCAGGAATGGCCATTGTGCACATCCTCTAGGCCCCAGCAGCCGCCAACAGCAGAAAGAAGTAGGGTGTAGGCAAAAAAACTTTGGTGCCGGGGTCCTCGAATTCCGGAGGGGTAAGCAGCAAACGCGGTAATTCATTGAATTTTTTTTGCCGTTCTGCAGGGTAGGGGCAGGGCAGGGGCAGGGTCAGAGGCAGGGTCAGGAGCAGGAGTAGGAGCAGGAGCGCGATCACGACTACGATCACGACGTCTTTGAAGAGCATAGCACGAACATAGCCTCTGAGGCTCACCTACAGCAGACTTCGAAGATTCTCAAAGTGCTGCAGAGCAGGGTGGACCGTCTGCTACATGCAGTCAGAGCGGGTCAGGGCTGGTTTGCAAATCTGGTCTTCGGGGCAGAGGTCAGAGTTCCAGGCACACAGGGACGAAAGTGTACCTAGTCGGCTAGTAGCCAAGGGGGGGACCGCCCTGATTACCCCCTTGACCTTGACGCCCTCCTTCCCCCTACTTTGCTCGAGAGCAAAGCCCGGAGTACGACTCTGAAGGTTCCGAAGCGAGAGAACACTGCTACAGTGCGTACGCCCATGCGCCCGTGCGAGTAGAGGAGGACGCGCTGGCTGACTAGGTCCGACACCAAGACAAACAGGCCGGCCACCTTTGCTGCCAAAACTGCTCGGCAGTTCTAGGGGATGGTGGGTCTCCCCCCTTTATCCCATGGCTACCTGTTTTTCTGCCACGTCTCCCGAAATCCATTCACGTCCCCTGGCATTTCCAGTACCGCGACCAAGCCCCTTGAGTCACCTCGTCACCGCCACACTCACCTTTAGCGACCCCATCGACCCTGTCTGCCTGGCTGCGTGTGCGGTGCTCTTCCCTCTCTGCACTTCCATACGAGCTATCCCTCACTCAGCCCATCTCATCATGGAAGTCCCAAACGAAAGGCCCTTTTTCCAGTCCGGCGACAATCTATTGTGGCTTCGCGTCTGGCTACGCATGCAGCACTTCAAGCGATCCGGCAAGCTCCACAGCTCACGTCCAGTCCTGTCCGCTGGTGGCTCTCTTCTGAACCACGACAAGAAGAAGCTCAATCCACCAGGACAGAGCGGACGATACATGTTGTACTGGCCCGATGTGAAGCCTGGGAAAAAGCCAAAGAATGGACGCAGCTTGAGGGCGGATTTGGGCATTGCAGAGACCAGCAGGCTGAGAAGGCGAGATGAGGCCGCAGCGGCTAATAGAGCCAGAGATAGAGGCGACGGCGGCGCGACGGCCGTTGATGAGGACCACCCAAGAGCGTCGACGCCGCTCACCAACGGGAGAAGAGGGCGAGAGTGCTCTCAAGCTTCCCTCGACTCGAGGACACCAGATTTACAGGCGTACGAGTGCAGTCGCTCTGACACTGCCGATGCAGAAGCGCTCAGTGCAGAAGCCCGAATGTCGGATGCACCACCGATGGCAGTGCCGGCGCCAGAAGCGGCGACCTTCAAGGCACGCACGCCTTACTTTGCGAGGGCACAGTCTACCCGCCTGTGTAAGCTGCGCTACGAGCACCTTCCTGAGCAAGAAAAGGTAAGTGCCTGAAACATGTGAGATAGCCCGAGAGATCATCGGACTTACCCCTAGCATCGTGCTGTGTACTCCTCTTCGTACCGTCAGGCCCGCAAATCCCTCTACAAGCCAAGAGACCACAGCAAGACGAATCCGTATAGGCATTTCTCACCCAAGCAGTACGCCGCTGCTCTGCGTGCCTCTCGTGAGAAGATCGTCAATGATGTGGAGGCGCTGTCCAGGAAGCCTGATGCAGAGCTGAGCGCAGAGAAGATCAATGACGAATTGTGGACCCTGATGCGGGAGGTGGCAATGATCTATCCGCCGATGCCATACGACAAGATCAAGTGGGCGGAGGACGTCTCCATGGATTGCGACGCCTTTACCGTGGACCCATCCTTCCTCTGCGCTCTGCAACGGCTGGATACTCGGCTGCAGCTCATTGCGCACAACCTCGGGTACGAGTACGAACACCAGTGGCCCGCGAAGGTTTGCGTCTGCCGCGTGGAGACGCTGATGCTGATCAATATTTGTCAGGTGCAGGACGCAGCATATGAGGTGATGAACTACGAGGCGGATGATGCTTGGCTGCGCCCTCAGACGGACGACGAGAAGGAACGTGAGGCTGCTGCTGCTGCTGTTACTGGTGGTACCAGAAGCAAGTCGAAGTCTAGGAAACGCAAGAGGAGAGGCGCAAGAGACCGAGGAGAATGCGAAGAGTTCCTGTCGGAGTGCCCGGACGAAGAGGATCAAGCATGGGGTGATGATGATTTCGCATGGCACGATGCCGAAGCTGAAGGGCAGGCCGAAGTGACTACGCCAAGCGATCCGTCCATCGAAATCCAACGAGGAGGGGAATCAGGACTTTGGAACGAAGGAGCATCGCTGATCTCTGCGACTTGGCAGAATAGCGGCGGCGGCGGTGGGCAGAGGTACTTTGATCTGGGCACGAGGACGTCTATGCGCACCGACGGGCGAAGGCGCCCTCGGCTATCTGCCATCAGCGTCGAGGTGGACGAGGTCAGCGGGGACGATGGTCGAGGGGAGGTGCAGGTGAGCGATGCGCAACATGCTGCCCTCTTCCTTCAGGGACAGCTGTGGAGGCACGTCTGCCATGGCGCAGTGAGCACACGAGACTTGACCGATGGGAGCGAGTGAGTGGCCTGCCTGCCTGCCTGCGTGCGTGCGTGGGCGGGGATGGAAGTGGCAGTGTCAGTGTAGCGGCTGAGAGTCTTTACTCGCCCTCGTGGCCGTGCAATTGTATTCTCCTCGTCTGAGCTGGTGAGCTGCAAAGGCAACCTTGACAGGGGGTGCCAGAGGGACAAGTGGCAGAGGCAGGGCGAGGCAGGGCCGCACAGACCATCGAGTGCGGAGGGAGACGACTGCGCGCACCTGCCACCCCACGCCGCCCCGCCCCCCCGCCTGCCATTCCATTCTAGACTAGGCCACCCTCGTCTACCTACAGCATACCACCACCAATGTCCCACCCTGTCTCGCCCTCTACCTTCGCCGTCCTCTCAACCACGCCTGCGCCCCAAGGACGTCTTGCCTTCTCATAGGCACAGCTGCCACCTACCTCGACAGACAGACAGGACAGGCAACTGCCACCCACCCGCCACCTCGGCCCAGCCCCGCGTTGCTCACCTTGGTTGGCCGCGGCGGCTGACCACAGGCCAATGGCTGTACCTCCTGGTCCACCTCACCATCGACGTCAGTGCTACCCTCCGCTCAAGACTATGCACAGCAGACTGCCACTCCCTCTCAAATCACCCCCAAGCACACCATACGGGCCTCTCCCATAGGCTGCATGCGGGACAGTAGATGAGCACTCTGCGTCAGCAGATCCCACACCATCAACTCGGCATCCCACCTAGGCTCGCAGCCTACTGCTCACAGTCTCTGCTAGTCCTAGCCTCAGCGCCGCCCCCCCTCCTTTGCTGAGAGTAGAGTGGCAAGCGCCTTGGGCGGCGCTTCACCAACGACTGCTACATTCCCCTCTTCGCCCATTCGTAGCGCACGCTTCACAGCGCAGTAGCTCTCCACCACGCAATCGAGATAGTGGAGCAGTGGCCGAGGACGAGATGGCTTTTCCAGCGATGGACGGTGGGACTATGCAGGCCGGCTCAAGAAATTAGGTCGGACGGTGATCCGCGCGCCTCCCTGTGCTCCCTTGTGTACCTCTTCTTCCTCACTTGACGCCTTCTGAGCTAATCGAGGGTGAGCGGAGCGACACGGGCATGCTTCGCCCTTACCAGGAGGTCCACTTGGCCGCATGCAGGGCGGGACGATCATCAAGAGCTCCCATTCCCAAGAGTAGCCGTGGCGGCACTGCGACCACGGCCTTCCTTCTTGCGGTCGTTGACATCGGAAGGGCTGGTTTCGATCGATGACAAGAGAGAGCGAGGAAGAGATGGACGATAGTGCTCGGGAGTGGTGGTGTCGTAGGAGCTCGTACCTGGTGCGTGATTGCGTAGAGCCTCTCACAGGTTTCGGAGGCCTATTCCTACGGATTGATGGGCTTGCTTTGTCAAGACAAGTGTGCTGACAAGGCTCTTCGATTCTGTTCCAACGTCGTCCGAGGCCTGCAGGGTCCCATCTCTTGTTTCGTTCACCAATACATATCTCACTGTCTTGCACACCTTGCACACCAAGGGACTCTCTTTGTAGAATGGACGGTCTCTACCAGGCCATGCAAGCCCAGCAAGACTTTGCAAGAGGTCAGATCACCTCTGCAGGGCTTGACTCGTTAGCACATCGGCAGATTGGTCTGGTCGAAGTACTCCTTGCGCATTCATGGACTGCAACAACCCATGAACAAGCGCTGTCGTCCACACCAGGAAGGCAACTGCATCTTCTCCCAGCTACTTTCCTACAATCTGACCACGATTGTCCGGAGTGGTTGTGTATTGCACAACACCAAGGACAGCTGAGAAGCCAATGACCCTCCCCGATGACTCACCATCAGACCTATCCGGCGCTTCCTCACGGTGCAAGGCAAGCGTCGGATCAAGGCGCCCAGCACACACCCTCCAGCCTTGAGCATAGAATGGCCTGCTTATAATGGTAGCTGCTTTGGAACGGTCTATGATAGACGAAGATATCTCGACGAAGACAGACGAGATAGACAGGAAAAGCTCTAATGACGGCGGACAAGAGTGATTGCAGCAGATGCATTGATCAGCTGCTGGCGGACGCGCCTCCTGCTCGGCCGATGCGACTTCACACACACAGGGAGATGTGTGCACCTTGTCGTGGGGAAGGATCTCAACCAACGCAAGGTGTCACTCGAACAAGCAGCTATACATCCGTCATTCGCCTGGGCCTTCCCTCGGACGGGCCGTGGACAGCTACTGTCA